TGATCAAATGAATATTGGAAGTTAGATTATACAGCTGGCAGCTGTACTGCTTAGTTACAGCTTGTAGTTTGTGAACAGGAAGAAATAATCAGCTGTATAAATTGTTTTCGAGGGAGCATGTTCATGTGCAGAGTGTACGTCAGTGGACGCACATCAGAGTTTGCGTTCTCTAATTTGAATTACTAAATAATTTAAAATATTGGAAAGTTTAAATTTAATCACTGTTTACTAATTTGAATTACTAAGCAATTTAAAATATTGAAAAGTTTAAATTTAATTAATTTTTATTTGCTAATATATTCGTTAAACACACTCGCCTCCATTTTTAATGAAATATTGAAAAGGAAAGCGAAGGGTAATTGAAATTAAAAATGTAAGCTATCTTATGTTAATTAAACAGTTATTAGTACAAAGGGGCTTTGTCCCTGAAGGATAATTATTTTCATTTTACGATTTTGCGTTGAATCATTATAAATGTCAGTTTCACTTTTCAAACTTTTGCCACCGAATGTTAGAGTCCTGCATTATATTTGAAGAAATTAAATATTGAAAAATCTGCATAAATGTATGTATAGTTCTCGCATTGTGATAAAATAACGGTGCATAGAGCCATCGAATTTTGAATGACGTAACCCTACTGCGAATATGGGCATAAGGAAGCCAAAATTTGAAATTTGTATTATTATCGATTTCATATTTTGTAAAACTATAACGAATTTTTGAGTAACAAACTCAACGATTTGAAAGCGAGCAATGGCAACAATCTACCGGGGGGGGGAACATTTTTATCTTCAGCGCGCGGAACTATGTATCGGAAATTCTAAAGATAGGCTCATTTTAAAATTATTTTGCGACATTGCTATTGAACTGAAATTTATGGTTTAATTGCGAAGAACATGATATTTAATAAATAATAAACGTAACACACAAAACGTTAAAAAAACGCTCCTTTGGACGTAATTTAACATCTCAAACCTTTCAGATTCTTTTTTTATAATTAAAGTATGTTATAAATTCGCCTTTTCGTATTCCTCACTAGAATGCAATTTAGGCCTTTATATATTTAAGCTAAGGGCTTTGAAGCTTTAGATTGAGTTTCTGGCAACCGCATCTTGCTGTTAGTATTCCGGGCTTAGCACCTCACTAGACGATGTTTTAAAATACGCTTTGGTAAAATATCCAAGGCAGTTTATTTTTAGTCCGCTTAATATGTAATCTTAAACTACGCTATCAATGTTTGAATCTGGTGAATGTTTAGTCTGTAGCGCAAATTGTGCCTATTTTGTTACATTAAGACTACATTAAAATACTATTTGAACATTCTTTAGTATTTTGTGTGTTCATCTAGAAGAGTTTTCAGGACTCTTACTTCTACTTACAACAGAAAAACTCTAAAAATAAATAAATAAATAAATAAATTTCAAAAATTATTGTATTACATACTAATTGATTATTCATCAAGTCATTATATTAATAACTTAGATTCTATTAATATTGATAATTCAGAGTCATCTGGGCTATTTTAAAGCAAACGTAAAATACTTCGCTGTATGCTTTTGATCTTATTCGACTGATGCTATAAAGAGCAAAAGAAAAAAATTGGTCTAATAATAACAACCACAATTTTTATTTTTTATTTATTTTTTTTTTTTTTTAAGTCCAAAGGGATTTGAATCCCGAAGGACTATTAGTTTCGTTTGGCATTTTGCGTCGGACGGATAAATGTCGTTCACTTTTCAAACTGTTGCCATAAAATGTTAGAGTCCTGCATTATATTTGAAGAAATTAAATAATGAAAATCTGCGTAAATGTATGTATATTTCTCACATTGTCATAAAATAACGGTACATAGAGTCATCGAATTTTGAATAACGTAATCCTCCAACGAATATGAGCATGTGGAAGACCCAATTTGAAATTTGAAATTTGTTTTATGATCGATTTCCTATTTTTTAAAACTTTGACGAATTTTTGATTAACAAACTCAAGGATTTCAAAGCGAGCAATGGCAACGTTGTGCAGAAAAAACATTTATATCTCCAGCGCGTGAGTCTCTGTATCGGAAATTCTAAAGATATGCTCGTTTTAAAACTATTTTGCGATATTGCTGTTGCCCTGGATCTTATGGTTTAAGTGCGAGGAACATGATATTTAATAAAGAAAGGTAACACACAAAATGTTAAAAAACGCCCATTTGGACGTAATTTAAAATCTGAAACATTTCAGATTTTTTTTTTTGGTCTTAAAATTAGTAATTAAAGTTAATGACCTAAAACTGCAATAGCACAGGTTAAATTCCTTGCATAAAACATGGAATAATAAGCTATCATTCATTTATTCTTTGCGAATGAGATTTTGTATTTACAATATAACACTGGGAGTTTTTAAGGCTTAAATGAATACATTCCATTTCTTTGTTGAAATAAAAACATACTTTTTAATTTTAGAAGATTATTACTCACATTAGTTTGAATCTTAATCTGGATTTTATTATATATCACTAAATTTTCCCACATAGAAACCTAGTGAGTAATTATGTTAGCCTTTGTTTACATGCATGAAGATATTTCTATCGGAGACTGTAATAAGGTATGCAAAGTCTCAGCTATCTTCTTTCAACCAGGCACTTAAATTTCCAAGCATAATATTCCAATTTCTAATGCATGTGTTAATAGTAACAAGACCACTTAAATGAAGTTAACCTGAATTAAAGTAATCTGATAAGTTTCATGTGCAGTTGTACTTAAATTTACTTTGAATTTCTTTATTTGTTCCCTCTTAATATCGGATAAAATTATGTTGCTTATAGTCATTGCGTGACTGATACACGTCACTGAAATGTAAAGATTTCCAAGTATCAGCAGCAAACGAAAATCTTGTTTTGAATCCTACCTTCCGGACAAATTTTGGTTCTACTAAGAGAAGAAATTTAGCAAAGTGAGATCAGAAGTATATTCTAAAAAATTCAAATCTGCCCTTAAATTGACACTGTCTTAGTTTAAACCAGTGGTCGGCAAACGTATTAGCCAAGGAGCCAAATATGAACATTACAACAATTTAAAAAAAATTGGGAGCCAAATCTGCTTGTTTAGTAAACTTTTATTACACTAAATAAAACTAAATTTAATACTTAATATTTATTAATGCGAACAATGTGCTTGCATCTCCTTGGAAAGTTTGAGTAAGTCAGGTTTGTATGTTGTTGTTTTAAATTTTAGGCATGGTGATTTCTCAGTTTACTCTTGATAATGTCATGCTTGAAAAATATTACATATTGTTCGCACATATATGTAGAACCAAAAAGGTAAATAATAACAAACACGAGCTTTTTCAGCTGATCGTAAGAGTCAGGAATACTATTCCAAGCGTAGAAAATGATCATGTCTTCCTTCTCCAGGTCATTCAAAGCAGACCACTTGTGTTGTGAACTAAGATCTTTTTTCTTCTCCAATATTTCCAATTCAACACAAAGGCGTTCGAATTTAGAGCGCCATATCTCCTTGTTTTTTAAATCCAGCAATTGTATTTCAAAGCTACCAATGTCAATTTCAACTCGGTTATTATGCCATTAAGAGGATTTTTGACAAATGCTAAAGTTGCTCTGCTGTTTTTAAATTCCTGAAACCTGCTGAGAAAGGCTTCCCTCATATTTAAAATTATTGTTTTAAAATGGTGTTTATCAATAGAGGAATTATTTTCTTGGCGATGCTTCAGCAGGCTCGGAAAGTGTAACAATGTTTCCTTTTCAAAATCCTGTGCAAAAATGGATAATTTGTTTTCGAATGTTATTACTTCTTCTAACACTGAAAAAATTAAGTTTCCTTTCCCTTGTAATTTACGATTAAGCTGATTTAGATGAGGCATAACGTCTACCATGAAATAAAAGTTTTGGATCCACGGATCGTCTGCTAGTTCTGGATAGTGAACGCCGTTCTCAATGAGAAATGCTTTAATTTCCGGAAAAAGGGACGCGAAACGTTTTAAAACGTTCCCTCTTGATAACGAACATACCTTGTTATGAAGCAGAAGATCAGCGTACTCAATCTCCATTTCAAATAAAAATTCTTTGAATTGGCGATGATTAAGAGCTTTAGCTAAAATGGAGTTGATAATGGTAATCACTAATTCCATAACTTTACAAATTTCTTCCAGAAATGTTTGCTCACAAAGCACTTCTTGGTGAATGATACAATGGTAAACAAGTATCTCGTGATTAATTTTTTTCTTTCAAAATAGCAACAACCCCTTTCTTAAGCCGGTCATACTTTAGGCCCCATCTGTTGAAATCGTGACAATTTTATCGAGGGGAATATGATGCTTTATCCATACACTCAATTACAGTATTGGCGATATCGTCTCCACGCGTCTGACCTTTGAGTGGCAATAATCCTAAAAGTTCTTCTTTAGGGCCTGAATGAGACAAAAATCTCACAAAAAGTGAAATTTGCGCTGTATCATTTATGTCACAAGACTCGTCAATTGCTATTGATAAAGCCGAAACCAATTTCAGATCTTCGATAGCTGGGTGGTTATATTCGAACACATTTGTATTTGTACTAGAGCCGCACTTAAGGAGTCAAAGAGCCACATGCGGCTCTGGAGCCGCACTTTGCCGACCACTGGTTTAAACAACTTATTTTTATATGTGAATAAGCTGTATTTAAAACTTGAAGCGTTTCTTTTAAAACATCAATTTGCCAAATTAGTTAATTAATAAAATAAAAACCATGAAAATTATTTAAAACAGGTGAAATGAAAATTAGTTAAAATAATAACCATTGTTAAATTTAATTAAACCATGATGATCCTATTTTTGGTTAGTATTTGAATGAAACCTAAGTTCCATTCAAATCCCTTCAGCTAAGAAATAATTTTCATTTTCTGACAGCAGTTTTTTGAAGTTGTACTGAATATTAAAATAACTTCTACCGTACGATTCTTCCTGGTTTATATTTTTTAAGAAAGTAAGTAAAAAAATATAAAAAGAGACTAAGGTATACTTTTTTTAACTCTTTATCGATGTCACTTAACTCCTTAATTTTTATTTCGAGTACTTTTCTGTAATCTTCATGCTTCCAATCGGCTTCCGAATTTAAGTGTACCATTTCCTTCGCTTCTTCTTCTAAAACAACAGTCATCGATCCCTGTGAAAATACAATTTAAAAAACATGACCTATTCATCTACAGATAGAATAGAACAGATTTCGTAATATTATTATAAAGAAGTATATAATATTTGTAATATATATATAACATATTTGTATATATAACATAACGTTTTTCCGATTAATTAAAAGTACTATATCTTTCTGATCTATTTCTACACCCTTCGCTGTTACCTTAAGAAAATGATTACTTTTGATTTTTCAAGAAAAGAACTTGATAGCTTAGAAAGAACTTGATAGCTTTCACTCCTTATCCTTGCATTTGAAAGTCAAGTTTGGGAAATATACTGCCCGACAGAGAAAATGTACCATATTAAAGAATGATCAGAAAGATGTAAAACATCGTACGTATATAGATATATGATTAAACTCCTAACAAATGATTTAATTTTCAAGGATGTGCAATGATAAATATTTAATTGCTTAGCATCAATAAATTGCCGCTATGTTGTGTTATCTTGTGTTATCGTCATATGTTGTCATATGTTGTGTTATCGTACATCACACACGCCTTTGTTTTCAATGATCTTCGTTTTCTACAGAAGAAAAGGTTTCTAACTGACGTTTATTCATATCCCACAAATACTCGATTGGTAAGAAAATCGGGTTGGCCAAGGAAGCAGTTGTACATCTTGCAATATATTTAGGGTGAAACATATAGCGTGTGGCCAACGTTTATCTTGTCAAAAATGGACGTCGGTAATACTCCGAAGATACGGAAGAAGTTAGAGCTGTAGCGCGTCATCCGCAAAGAGGAATCCTATTATGCACCTACCTGTAATGTGCCACAAAGACGAATAGCTATTAGAACTAATGGCAATTCAAACTATTATTTTTCTATGACAGCTATGCGTTGCTCGAAAATGGTAGAAGCTTCTGGCCAGTTGTCAAGTCGTCTCCTCTCCTTCACCAACAGAATTATTATTTGTGAGGCAAATGCGACATTTATTGCCAAAGTTCGGCATCCGCGCAACTGTTACAATTACAAGCATTCACGGCAATGGATCACTTTTAAAGGAAATGGACGCTTTTGTAAAGGGCGGCTAGATACCAAACCTGCATTTGCTGATCAGTGCAAAACTGTCTGCGTTGACTCCGCAGACGTCGTGTCGATATTAAAACCGTTTGTGCTGATAAGTGTTCTATTATGTTTGTTTTCCGTTCTCCTGACCCCCTACACGTATATTATCACCCAATCCGACCAACCAACGATGCAGATTTTGGCATCAGTTTACGACTTCTCCGTGACATGGTGCAAAGATCAACAAGCGACCATGCGATGTAACAATGCTACAGGGGACTAACATGACGCACTTCGAGGACTCGTCTCATTGCTGATACTTTGTAGATCAATGTCTTAAAGGTATTACCTTGTCTTCTGCTTTTACCAAACTCGAAAACATCAAGAAAATTCCGTATTACAGCTGTGACCATGCCAAATGAGCTTTTGATTGTAATTTGGTTGCTTATATCCTGAATGCTATGCCTGGTTTAACTTCGTAAATGTGTTTTCCTATAGAAATTTCCAGGGCGTTTGTTCTTCATGGTGTGGCGCTTTCTCTTCTAGTCAATGCATATCAACATGACATCCGATGGTTGATAACTACACAATTAACTAACTGATCGTGTTGTAAAACGTTACGCTTTTATGACCGATGGCGACAGTTAAGGATACATGAAAAATGGAAAATCTCTTCCCCCATCCATTGATTTTTCCAATTTGACACTAGATTGACAAAACAACAACAGCTGATTGACAATTGGGGAAATAGGAGTCTTTAAGAAATGGTTGAAGATGCAAAAATTAAGTAACTTGAAAATGTTGAAAATCAATAAAAATTTACTGCATTTTTTTTTTTTTTTTTTTTTTTTTTTGGCACTTGCTTAGAAAATTATTCTGCAACTTTTAGATTAATAATCAGTTCTGTTTACTTGACGGCAAAAAGGTAAAATATTAGAATAAATCTGGGAATGATTAATTTTTAAACGTAAATTATCTTTCTTATTTAATTACTTCTTTTACATTTACATGAAGCAAACCCCGAACTCGGAGTATATAATTCAAAACTAGATATTTCCGTGAAATGTAATTTTATCGCTGGCAAAATTGCAAAATTAGGTTGCGGATTAGAGGAAAGTTTGTAATATTTCGCGAAAATTTTGTGGCCTTAGATATTTGTGGCGATATTAAAAAGAAATATGTCTATTAATTACATAATAGTAATGCAAATAACAGTTGCATAGTTCAATAAGTATTATTATTATTTTGACATAAAATCTAATCTTTTTCCCGAAATAACGTACCTATTTTTATGTATATTTCGATTTTACGATCGTACGTGCAATTTTTAAAAAATTAGTTCTCAAAATTTTAGTTCCACAATGTTAATTCAATTTTTAAATATTTATTAATATCTCTATTTTTATTACACTTAATTCATTCCTTCTTTCACACTTAAAAATTTAGGATTAATCGAAATAAAATTCGCTGATATTTCGATTTATTTTTTTAAATTTAAATTTGTATATTTAGTATTTTTTATAATTTTTTAGAAAACGTTTTGAATTATAACCTATAAAATTTTTACCATAACCTTAAAACAAATGTATTTCTATGCATATTTGCAAAGATTAGAGCTTTTATTCAAAATTGTAAAAGATATACGTGAATTTATACATTGGCGAGTTTTGGAATTTGACATATTTGTTATAAGCGATAATAACGCCAAACGTACTTTACGCATTTTGTTAAATTTATTTGAAAGAATGAATGGTGCACCTTCTTTCCGCTCGTGCACAATGAAAAAAGGGAAAAGAAAATAGGTTACTAAAATCAAGAGTTTCGTCAAATGAATTATTCTCGGCGAAAATTGAAAAACGTGCGCCAAGGTAAATTTATAAATTTATAAATTTCTTATCAAATTTTACAAAATGTAATACTTGGGCATAATCTGAGTTAAAGAGTCGAAGTATGAGAAAAAAATACGTTATGTTATTTCAGAAAAAAGTCCAATTTTGCGTCAAAATACCTATGTTATAATAATGGTATATATATCTATATATGTATTGCATATTTCTAAGTAACGCTTTCTAGACATAAAAAACGCAAGTGAAATGTCCTCATTATTTTTATTATAAGTTTTATTATGAGCTTCACTGATTATTATGACTTTTAAATCAATGCTCATTTAAAAAAGTTTAATATTTTTTTTTTGTTTTTGTTTTTTAACATTACATCCAACAGCCAGTAACACTTCCCAGATACGGAATTAGATTGTTTAACATGATTTTGTTTATAGGCAATGACTGACGATAATTGCTTAGTAAACAGCCATCTTCTTATTGCAAAAGTCTAGCAAACATTCTCTGTATCCAGAATCTGATTTGAAATTTTAGTTTTGTTTTAGATTTTGATTCGATTTACTTTGTACTACTATTTTCCTGCAAATTTCATATGTAGGATTAAAAATATTTATATATGAAAAGTAATCTAAAACTAAAATAAAAATGAAAACGCTAGGATAAATTTCGAAATTTGTGTATTTATCTGGCATTTGAGAAAAATGTTTAGTATTCTCGAAATCTGATAAAACTGCCTAAAATTTTCTAAATTAACCGGAAAAATTTGTCATAAGATAAAATGATTGCCGTAAACATAGTTTATTGAAACATTGCAGAAACTAAGTATCTTTGAAAAACTCCTGTGAGTATTGAAACAGTATGCTTAGTGCATTAATTTTTAATTTTTGCTTGCTTGGTGCTTTAACTTTTGAAAAACCTATGTTAAAATAGGAAAAATAACAAGTATCTTGCTGAAAAATTTTTATATATTAATAATTATTTTGAAAATAAAAATATACGACATTTGAATACCATGAAAAGTTCTATGAAAATTTATTCAACCTTGTCGTCCAGCACGGATTCTTTCCTGCAGATGTCGTCATGAAGCTGACTGATTTTGTCTTTGATATATTTTATAGTGGATTCAAGATTTTCATGCATCTTTTTCTTAGTGCCGAATTCAGCATCCAGTGCACGGCAACATTCCTTTTCATATTTAAGCTACAGATTTTATGAATTTGTTATTAAAAACGATGTAGGAAAAACATATTAAATATTAAAAATATCACATTGCTTTAACCTTCACGTTTAAAACCAATACTGTAAAAGAAATTACAATTTAATTAAATGTTAATAAAGCTTTCCCTCTTGGCGCCTAATAATTGACATTTAATGGAAAATATATCAATACCGTACTTATGTAAGTTTCTGTTACGTCTAGGAAGCTTATCTTAGTGCCTTGCAAATCCTGCTAGATTAAGAAGCGAATTATCCCTATAGTCTGAAGCATATCACAAAGTGAACGAATATTAAAATAACCTTTTTACTAAAATCTTTAAATGACCAAAAGGCACTACTTGTGCCACCACTACTTGCAGGTATTTAATATAACATGAGATAAAGTTAAATCCAAATGTAGATAACGTAATCTAAGACTAGACACAAAGGCAGAATACTTAAGCTGTTCTCAAAATAATTAACGACACTTATTAAAACGCAGGCTAACAAGATGCTAATGCCGGAATAAGGCAGAGATGGCGATGGTACGTAACTGTAATGAGAGGCTGCCAGAAGTTTCAACTCTAAACTTTTAAACCCTCAGCTTAAATACACGACAAATAATTTACATTTTGGTAAGGACTACGGAAAGAAATTAAAGTAAACGTTCGAATTGCTCTAACTGGTTAATTAGCATAAAATCTTACACTTAAATAGCAGTTTATGCATTAGAATCTTTTTTTTTGGAAGGGAGAGGAAGGGAAGGTTAACGATTTGTTAATACGATGTTACTTTTTTTAAATATACGACAGTTTGTTTCCGAATGAAAAAATATTCTTTTGTAAACGTGTGACTTTACAAAAACCGTTTCGTTCCACTTATATACTCCCTTAACATTTGCGAAGTCATTCGTCCCCCTCCCGGGGCTTACCAGCGGCCGAGCGGTAAAGACGCTGGCACTGGTAGTTCGGTCCGAGTTTCGAATCCCGCGAACGGGCTGGCTGCATGGACATTTTCGTGGTTTTCCCCAAGTGTAACGTGTATACATACGAGCCAGATTCTCTTAGAAAGTTCTCCACGAAGGCATCCCTTCCTTTGGGCAGATAGTCCTCGTGTGCTTTACTATAATTGAATAATCCAATCCAATAATCCATATTCCCCCCCCGGCCGGCGAATAAAACATTTAGCGTTTTGCATCAGAAAATCCCCTACCACCTTTTCTTTAAACCTTTTGTTGATATGTTACACATTTGCACATGTTATATAGTTCACATAATATCACTCAAATACTTTTAATAAAATTTCATACGAGAAAATTTTGATTGGCAGCCCGTTTAACCCAACATGACGCATTTTCCGAACCAAACAGTTAAGTTTAACATATCAGTTTCTCTTTTAATTCATAAAAGTTCCATGTCATAAAGACTAATCTGAGATGAACATATTAGTTAACAATCTATTTCTTTTATTGTTCATAAAAGCTATATTGTGAATATTACATCCGAATGCATGAAGTATTTATGCAAGATTTTCATTCAACTGACTCGAATGGCATCAACACGGCATACCGGACAGCAGAGACATATTATTTTCGTCCCTATGTTAATACTAATGCAACGCAGAAACTGTTTAAATAAAATCAGGAAACGGTACAGGAAAAAAAAAATTCTCGAGGATATTTTTTGGAAAAGTGTTAATTATATCGCATTATGATTTCTTTCATAGCCTTTTATCGCCTTTTTAAAATTTGAATGTGAAACTAAACATTGTATATTGAGGTATAACAACAAAAACACATATATTTTTATTCTTAAGGGGGCTCATACACCTTAAACCCCTTATGATCTTCGAATATGCAACTGTTGCAAGAATTGGGATATTTTATTTATGTTAAAAGCAATTACTTCCAACCTTTTACAGCTGACTACGTAATATAGCTGCTTTTGAAACTAGTAACCAGAAAGTTTGTGTTACCACAAATATTTTTGTAATTTAATCTTCTTTGTGACAAAATATTTCGCCATGTTTCCACCTTGCGCGCATGATATTTTAAAAATGGCTAATGGTACATCCTTGAAATTGGATGGAATTCTTTATATGGGCACTATTTTCTAACTGAACCAAAAATCTGACGAATATTTTAATATTGAAAAAATTTATGGCACGAAAACATTACATACTTTTTTAACAATAATACATTTTATAAACTCAACTCCAAATAAAATAAAAATTTTAACATGAAATTTTCAGAATTTTTAGGTTCACTAGTAAGTTTCCAAATGTTATAAATGCTATATATTAAATACACAATTAAATTATGCAACAGAATGTTTTAAACTGTGCCGCGCAAGGTGGAAAACATGGACGAAACATTTTTGTCACAAAGCGGATTAAATTATTAAAATATTTTTGGCAACACAAACTTTTTCTGATAACTATTTCAGGAAGCAGCTATATTATGTAGTCAGCTGTAAAAAGTTGGAAGTAATTGCTTTTAAAATAAATAAGTTATCCCTATTCTTGCAACAGTCACATATTCTCAGTTCTTGCTAGTTTTAAGGTGCATCTGCCTTTGGCGGTGGTATCTGCCAAAGGGAGGGGTGCCCCGGAAAGAACTTTTTAAGAGAAACTGTCTCATTAAAGAATATTTATGAACAGTTGCACAGGTTCAATACTATTATTTGTATAACTTTGATAGGAAGGAAGAAAAGGAATATTTTGTTTCAAAATAAATACAGTAATTTAATCAATAGATCATATTGAATCAGAATTGCACATTTCATTTATAAAATATTGCACCACTAAATATCTCTTGAACGAATGGTAGTAGACTTAAGGATCCAGTATAAGGAGTTAATCAAAATGCAGGGATTTTTTTTAAGCTTGGGACAATTTTGGTCACGTGATGGCTTTTAGTAGGAGAATACATAATTTTAATTTCAAAGACAGTTGCCCCTAAAATCTAGAGAAAGAAAAGAAAATTAATGCAAATTCTTTACGGAAGAGAAATGGAAAAATATGTGCATGAATTTCAGGTTACCGTTGCAGAAATACCAAATTCCAAAACATTCTTCTTTAACGAAATACAACTTATATATGACTCCAATATTTACCGTTTTCACCTTTCTTTTTATCGTACGAAAGCGGTTTTACGTTATGTAATTTTCATAATTTCTATTAAGGATTAGTTTTGAATTTTTCAGATCAGGATTTTTTAACCTGTTAAGTGGAATGCCCGAACAATTTCAGGCTTTGCTCTAATGCCTGAAACGTCCTATCTCGGAAGTTTGTTGAGTCACTGCTAAAGTCACCGCTGAAGGGGTTAAAGGCCTTTAGTAGGATAAAGAAGAGACTGTCTGATTTAGAGTCAACCGAGGCGTCTACCAGAACGGCTTCGAGGTAACCGTGATCATTTCCAGGAGCTCTTTATTGTAGAACCAACTTGAAGGACTAATTTCTGGGCGCTACATTTGACTGCGCGGTTTTGCACGCAGCTCAAAGAACCCAAAAGGTCAGAAATACTTTCACTATGCGAGCAGTGAGAATTTCTGCTTGGCATTTCGAATCCAACATAACGTCGTCATGTAAACTAAATTCTTGAAAATATTGTGGCTCTCTCCGAATAATCCAAATTAATTGCTGAGTTCGAGAAGCTTTTAAGGAGGTATTTGCTATATAAAAATTAAAATTTTATGTAATTTTATCTAAAATTTTATCTAAAATGTTACGTAATGATATTACATAGTCTAAAAAATAATTTTTTTAAACTTTTCTTTAATGTTGAGTGGAAAATTTAATACCAATCGTTCAAGAGACAATTATCCGTGAAGGTCGTTTTTGAAATAGTTTATGTTCAGAATAATAAACTGATGATTATATATTGATTTTAGAAACAGAAAATATCTCTTAGGGATAAATGACAGTTCTTACTTCTCCACGAAGTCTTTCTATCTCAGAAGTAATCAATGAATTTTCATACAAGCGTTTCTCTAAATCAGATCTAAGCCTGGAATTAAATTCTTCAGATTTTTTTGCAGTCAGTTCTTCAAAGTTTTGGTAAAAATCTTTGTTTTGTGCCACAATCTTAGCTCTTGCGTCTAGTTCCTGAGAAAATAATAGTTATGCTAAAAAAAAATATTTTCATGGCCAGAAAAATTCCAGTTGTCATGAAGTGCATTATTTAAAATAATTTTTTTAAATGCATTATTCACAACGGGGTCATTAAAACAGCTATTTGGTTTTTAAAAAAGTAGGAAAAAAAGAAATCCTGCAAATTACATCACCACTTTAACTATTTGTGACTAAGTATAATTGTAAACATTGTACTACGGTCAAAGATCATAGAGATTCTTTGGTATGGTATCCTCATTGTACTTCTGCTTTTAGTGTTCTTGCCTTTCTTTTACTTCGTCTTATACTTAACTAATGATTTGATAATAAAATTAAATGGCGTTTTTAATAAATAGCCCGGAAAATGTTAAAAATTTCAACAATTATCCCTTGTCATGGTACGACGAAAAGCTCTATACTTGGATTGCGTAAAATGCAAAAAATACCTTTCGGCTAATCTTTAACAGGAAATAGCGAAGAAAACTACATTTTTCAGTCCATATTTTTGTGAACTATTTGGAAGTCCGTGAATAGTTTTCTTCTATTCGTGATTTGTTTCTTTTATACATGTGCAGAAGTAGTTTACACATTTTTAAAACGATTTCGATAAAGAAAAAAAAAATCTGATAAAAAACAAAAATCTGTTATTTAGAATAAGAAATATTATCTACTAATTTTAAATTTATTCTTCTATCAAAATACCGCATGTAAGCAAACTGTCGTTTCAAGGATATGTTTTTGAGAAATATTCTTATAACACTGTAAGTATTTTCTTCTTCCTTTCCTCATGCCTTCGTGTTGTAATTGTAAACATAGGCCACGCGTATTTGAAAGGTCCAGGATTCGAGTCCCGGCGAGGGGATTGCACATTTTTCATGTCTCATGCTTCAAAAAACCCAATGACTTTATAAGTGGTGCCCCAAGTAATAAATGGTGGCGGACAATAACTCGTCACCACCAGGATTTGGCGACTGGGTACCCTCATTCCTAGTCGCCTTTAAAAGGGAGGAGTATATAAGGTATTTTCTCCCTCATTTCCGCATACCTTCGTGGTGTTATTGAAAGCATACTCGATGCGTATTTCAGAGGTGCAGAGCTCGAGTCCCAGCGCGGGCTCTGCATATGGCTCCTACTTAAAAACTCCTTTAAAAGATTTTTTTTTTTTCTCTCTCTCTATCCGGTGGTACAAGCATTAAACTTCTGATATTTTTAGTTCATTTGTGAAAAGAAAATATGTGAAAAAAAGTCTGAAAGGTTTCAGATTTTTTTTTTCCAAAGGGGTGCTTTTTTTTAACATTTTGTGTGTTACATTATTTATTTAATATCATGTTCTTCTCACTTAAACCATAAAATTCAGTTTAACAGCAATATCGCAAAAAAATTTATAATTGAACATATTATTAAAATTTCCGATACACAGTCTCGCGCACTGGAGATAAGATTTTTTTCCCCGTACAGTGTTGCCATTGCTCGCTTTGAAATCGTTCAGTTTGTTAATCAAAAATTCATTGAAGTGTTAAATAAAACAAATTTCAAATTCAAATAATCTTCTATATGCCCATATTCTATATATTCTATGGGAGATTATTCAAATTTTGATAGCTCTGGGTACCGTTGTTTATCACAGTGCAAGAAACATACATACTTTCATGCAGTTTCTTTATTATTTAATTTCTTTAAATATGATATTTGGTGGCAACAATTTGAAAAGTGAAACAACGCTTATCGTGAATCGACGCAAAATGCCAGAAAGAAATTAATAGTCCTTCTGGGCAAATTGACCCTTTGGACTGATGTTTCCACAAAATTATTGAAAAGCGTTGTGGAGTGCGTGATATTAAATTTTTTTAAATGCTAAAGAAGCAACATTATTGATTTGAAAAAGAAAAATAGGAAATCATAGTACTTCTGTATGGATAGAAGACTCCAAACAAATACCTGAAATGGTATACAGAGTCCCCATTTCTCCCCCCTCCCCCGAATGGGGAGTTTTTTTGTTACGGAAATTACGTTGCAGATTTATAAATCGGAAATATCGATTAGATAATCGATCATTTAAAAATATACTAATATTTTCATTTTAAATATTAGTTTAACAGCCCCGAAATCGTTTTAAAAATGTGTAAACACCCTCTAAGTTTGCTGTGTGGATGAGAAGGAAATTATTTATTTCAGACTATCAGTCAACTGTGGCTTAGGTATTTCGATTAGAGAGTAAAAAATCTGCCTTAATTTCAAGATCTCTTTTTTTCAGATTCCAACATCCTCATATAAGAATATCCTTAATACGTAAAATTGCAATTACGTATGAATTTTACGTGATTAGCTTTTACCTTTTGCATACTTGTTTCGAGTTCTTTTATCTTTGCTTCATCCTTCTCATTTAACTCCCGCATTGTCGAAATACTGGACTCATTTTCGTCTCTTATTTTAGAAATTTCGCTGTCGTAGAGTTTTCTGACCTTCTCTCTTTCAGCTACGAGTTTTTCGCGGCGTTCGCTTTCGTTCAAAATTTTAGCTTCGATTTCCTGTTCTAAAAGTATAAAACGGAATTTAAAAATTAATATTAATTTTTATGAAAATCGTATTAAATAAAAATAAATTCATTGTATGAGCCACATAGCTTTAATGCTTTGACAATAATGTGTTTAACTACTTTCAAACGAACATCATTGATGGATTAATTTTACAGCTTTGACATAATTGTGTTGTATTTGAATGTTCAAAAACGTCTGAAAAATTATCTTAACCTCTCTGAAAAATCAGAAATGAAAACATTTAGTAGTATAAGATCATTCAGGTACGTTATGTGTATGAACGTAATGGCTTAGTTCATGAAGAAAGTAACTAATTAAAAATTACAAAAATTATATTAATATTAATATGACATAATGAACATTTTGACAGAAAAATAGTTCATGTGTACTTCAGAAAATTCACTCTTTTTTATTATAATTTAGGTAACAAATAAGAATTTCACTAATCACAAAAACAAGGCACTATTAATCGATGTGAAATGAAAGTTTCAATTTGAAAGAATTGAATCGTTTCATCAGTTGTTAGAAATTTAATTCAAATCTAGGGCTCAGTTTCGCAGTGACTGCACTTTAAATGCGTAGTACTTATGCGCAGTAATTAATGCATTTTCATTTGTTATTCTTATTCGCGGTTCACTATATTTTAAATCATATTATATTTCACTATAGTAAACAGCAGGAAGAAAATATTAACATCTGCTACTTTCCAGTAAATGTACAGTATAGAAAAAATTATACTGACTCGTGAATATTTACATTTGTTACTCAAAAAACGAGCGTATTATAGGGATAATTAGTCTTTTAAAATTCAATTCCGTTATTACTTATAGTAGGAGTAATATAAGTACTATTATTGGGCAATACTGTAATGCTGTATGAAGCAATACTATTATCTATGTAACGCCCCTCTCGTAAGAGAATGTTTTCCCAGGGTTAGGTTCCAGGCAACTGCATGGAGCTTTTAGCAGACCCAACACCTCAATCACATCATGCTTTGGCTACGCGGGTTTTCAAGTCGAAAGGGACAATTCTCAGAATCCGCACAATTCCAGGAAACCCACGTAGCTAGGTTAACATTTTCACTTATGATAAAGAACGTAAAACACTAATCGATTATCGCTCAGATTGGGATCACGTGATGCTTCAGAAGCAGAACTTTTGTCTGATTTGGTTGTCTCTACCAGGGACAGAGGTCCAGCCGAGATATTTTTCAGTGAGGTTTGAAAAAATCCCGCCTAGCCGCAACATTGTTTCCGTAGCTAGGCGGCACTTCGCTCCCGGCGGGGCTCTCTTTTATAGAAATCCTCCCGTTTAAACCAGTGCTACTAGAATATGGTTTCTCAGAAAGGTACCGTCTAGCAGGGACTGTAGCAAAGTGCGATAACGCCCTTTGTAACCTGAACACGGGGTACGATTACTCACAATTGACGAAAAACGGATTAACCTAGATTACGGGAACAGAGTTACGGATTAGCCGGAACCTGCCGCTTAAAATGACAGTTTAAGTTTGTTTAGAATAATCTAATGACTCTGCAGTATCACCCAAACTAAAAGGTGGTGGGCAATAATTCGTCACCTCCAGGATTAGGCGATTGGGTTCCCTATTCCGCAAGGGCCCTTTAAAAGGGGGTATAAGATAGTTTCTCCCTCCTTTCCTCATGCCTTCGTAGTGTAACTGTAGCACAATCGGAGCGTATTCCAGAAAGTCCGTGTTCAAGTCCCGGCAAGGGCAATGCTTATTTTTCCTGTCTCCTGCTTCAAATAACCTAATGACTCTACACTGGCACCCAACTAAAAGGTGGTGGACAATAATTCGTCACCACCAGGATTTGGCGATTGGGTCCCTTAATCCCCAGTCGCCCTTTAAAAAGGGGAGTATATAAGATATTTTCTCTTCCTTCCAGCATTTCATCGTAGCGCACTTGGCGCGTATTCGAGAGGTCAAGGTTCGAGTCCCGGCGAGGGCATTGCACGTTTTTCACATCTCCTGCTACAAAGCAAGCCCAACCAGCGGCCGAGCGGTAAAGTCGCTGAACACTGGTAGTTCGGTCCGAGATTCGAATCCCGCGAACGGGCTGGCTGCATGGGCGTTTTCATGGTTTTCCCCATGTGTAACGTGTATACGAGCCAGTTTCCCTTAGAAAGTCCTCCACGAAGGCATCCCTCCTCTTAGGCAGATAGCCCTCGAGGCTTTGCTATAATCACACACACCTGCTACAAAGCAACTTAGTGACTCTACAGTGGAGAGAAGGAAAAATCACAATCAAAAGCCATCAGCGTAAAACGGAAACTGTCTATAGAAAATATAGAAAAGAAAACTGTTTTTCTCTGTCTCTCTTTCATTGTTTTTAATTTTTAATTGTATTGGTATGTTAAGCAAATAGTTAGTTCTATCATCAGCCCTTGGCCTTACTTTCAACTGAGCATTTGTGAAAGATTTTCTAATCAGAGTATGACAAATATATATTAAAACTTTATATGTTTTATTCCACATTAATATAAATTTCTTCTTGAAAAAAGATAATCATCTTAATCTCCTCAGACTAGAAAAATCTATAAAAGAAACAGCAGTTATAAAACGGCAAATTCCAATAGAATTTCTATAAATGTAATTTTTCGAAGCAGAGATTAATAAATAAATAAATAAACCAGTTTTAGAAAATTTATACTGAGGGAAGGAAAACAGTGTGACGTAATAACATCATAACCTTGACATTGTTTCCAGCCTATGTCCAAGGAAGAAAGAAAGAGTACTTCCCCTTCTTCGTCATAAAGTATCCGTTTTCAAATGTACAAAGTAGCCCAATTAATATCTTTTTTAAAAGAGAACTAAGAGTTTGCTTTATAATCTGTGAAAAATTTCAGAAATTTGTAATTAATGCATTATTAGATGAAGATATTTTAAAATAACAAATAACAAATATAAAAAAATTCGCCAACAAATGTGAAATTGCGTTAAAAATTTCACATAAATTTCATTAAAAATTTTTTTCACTTTGTCCAAAGTTGCAAAAAGTAAAATTCTGAGATTTTGTTCGTGAAGCGAAGATGCACGCGAAAAACCTTTTCAGTATTAAATTAAAAAAACTCTAAATCGAATTTTGAAAATATTGATTCATTGTACCGCCATCTGAAAATAGTTTATGTACAAAATTTGAACTCGATAACTTATACGGTATTTTCTCCCTTCATTCCGCTTGCCTTAGTGGTATAACTGTGACCACGGCCTATACGTAATCTCGGAATTCGGATTTTGGCCCAGGACATTGTGGATTTCTTCAGTTTCCTGATATCGATACGACCTAATAGTCTCTACAGTAGCGTCCGAATGATAATTCGACAGGTGGTGGACGATAATTCGTCACTACCAGGATTTGGTGCCTGGATTCCCTTATCCCCAGTCACTCTTTAAAAGGGAAAGTATAGAAGGCATTTTCTCCTTCATTTCCGCGTGCCTTCGTGGTATAACTGGAAGAACGTCCGACGCGTGAATGGGAGGCTCAGAGTTCGAATCCCGTCAAAGGCTTTGCACATTCTCCACGTCTCCTGCATCGATATAATCTAATGACTCTGCAAGCTTATTAGGAAGTGGTTTAATAATCAATGAAAAACTTTTGACTGTAACGACAAACACCACGAGTGAGCTAAATAAAAGCTTAGGTGATATATACTTGGTACTGTCCGAAGCTTTCATGTTTTGTTTTTAATCTTTAAGAATTATGCTTTAATTTCTTAGAAGTAGTTTATAGTACGCTAAATTTTAGTGTAAATATTATGTATTATGATATATTTTACACCGCGGAACAACGCTTTCAGTAATGGCGGCAAGGAGACACTTAATTCCTGCATTAGTATATTTAAGAGTAATATCAGCTGATGCATGTAAGATTAGTATGAACTTTTGCATTGTGTGCTACGTGAAAAGCCAGTTAATGTGTGTGTTGAATGATGAGCAACATTGCTTTTGCTTAAATGAAGTAAAATTCTATGCGCGCATTTAATTATTCCATATATTGCATTATACAAAGAATTATTTACATACAACTTGAAAATACAAGAAAGTCGACGGTGACTTTAAAATCCTTTTTAATGGTAAAATTCGATTATCTTCTCATAGATGATGACTGTCGTATTTGGACGAGAAGTTTGAATACAAATAAATTTCAATTATTAGGCGTCAAATTCTTAATAGCCAGGTGAATAATATATCAATAACGAAAGACTTTAATTTGATAATCGGGAAATAAACTTTCATTTTAAATTAGTGCCCAATGTTTGGTAAGTTTTTTTTATCCTAGAAAACCGTGTTGTGGTGATGGCGATAAGGAGCGCGCCTTGCGCCCTCCGATAAGTGTGGCAACCCTAGAGGAGAAGTTTCTTACGAGTAGCGAGCAGAGCGAAACAGGCAGGCTGTCGGGCAGTGTGCGCGAAGTTCCTAAATAAAGCTTAATTTTTATTGTGCACTATGTCTTGTTAATATTATATTAATGCAGTAAGAACATAATCTGTGATATGGAATTCGAGGATTGGTGGTAAAAACATAACAGGAAATCACCATAATGGTAACCCGGACTGTGTTAAATCGTATGAACAGTTCTCAAGCACTTTCGGTTTTGACTACAAGCCATCACTCAAGATCTCCAAACCAGAAGTAATGGATTACATCGGTTTTCGTCCTCCGGATCACAGATGAGAGTAGTAATTATAGATCATTTTATAATTCTGTTTTCTACTTATCATTTAATTTCATTTTCTTTAGTTAAATTTTTGCTTTTATTTTGGCTTAAAAACCTTGCACAATGTCTGATGTTCATGCCGTCCAAATTCCGGTTTATAACCGATCAGACCCATCTTTATGGTTTATTATGTGTGAAAGTACCTTTGCTCTTGCCACCCCCAAACCTATCACAGAATCCATTACTAAATATAATTATGTAGTTTGCTCATCTTCCTCCAGATATCGCATCACTAGTACGGGATTTACTTATGAAACCAGACCCTATTGATCCATATGCAAAGCTTAAAACTGAGTTAATAAATCGTTCAGGAGAATCTTCTCAGCAAGAAATTCGCCAATTATTATCTGGAGAAGAATTAGGTTCTCGAAAACCTTCCGATTTGCTTAGAAATATGAAACGTCGAGCAGAATCTTTAAATGTTCCTGATAACTTAATGTTAGAATTATTCCTTCAACGTTTGCCTTCGACTGTTCAGTCTATTTTGGCAGCGGTTTCCAATTTAACTGTAGATAAAGCTGCAGAAATTGCCGACAGAATTTTAGAAGTAAATCCAACCCCAGGGACTTGTGCCGTTTCTCGCACAGTCGATCAGTCTCTTGAGGATAAATTATTTAAACAAATAGAAAAATTAAACAAACGTATTGATCGCATTTCTCTTTCTCGTGGTCGCTCGCCAAATCGCGGAGATCGCAATAAGGAAAGAAGCAATTCCAAAAGGAGAGATTATTCTGTTTGCTGGTATCATAGACGTTTTGGGAAAAAGTGTAGAGATGACAAATGTACAAAACCTTGTTCATGGCAGGGAAACGAAACCAGCAAAGAATAGAGGCGACTTATTCTTTGCCTCAAGTTTCACGTCGCCTGTTCGTTCGTGACCGTAGAACAAACCTTTCATTCTTGGTCGATACCGGCTCTGACGTGTCCTTACTTCCAGCAAATAATTCTCAAAAACGGAATTCGTCCCAACAAACACTTTTCGCTGCTAATTCTTCTACTATTCATGTTTATGGTCAAAAAACACTTTCTTTGGATTTCAAATTAAGACGACAGTTTACATGGACTTTTCTTATAGCAAATGTTAGTACACCCATTCTTGGAGCAGATTTTCTCCATTTCTTTGAATTGGTGCCTGATCTCAGAAACAAATGTCTCAAAGATTTAAAAACGCATTTTAAAACCGTCGGTTGCGTGAAAAATGCAAGCATTTATTCAGTAAAAACTGTATTTAGTGATACACCATATCACAAAATTTTAAAAGAATTTCCTTCAGTTACTAGATTACCAGATCCTAACCAACCTGTTAAACATAACACCGTTCATTATATCATAACTAAAGGTCCACCTGTGGTTGCAAAACCTCGTCGGTTAGCTCCAGATCGCTTAAAAATAGCAAAACAAGAATTTCAAACTATGATGCAATTGGGGCATTTGAGACCTTCGAGCAGCAATTATGCATCCCCACTTCACATGGTTCCAAAAAAGGGAAGTCTGGAATGGAGACCTGTAGGAGATTATCGAGCATTGAACGCTCAAACAATAAAAGACAAATACCCTATTCCATGCTTAGCCGATTTTACTGCTGCATTGCACGGTACTAAAATTTTTAGTCATGTCGACCTGATTAAGGCATACCATCAAATACCAATTAACCCAGCCGACATCCACAAAACCGCCATATGCACACCATTCGGTTTATTCGAAAGTACCCGTATGCAATTCGGCTTATGCAATGCATCTGCGACTTTTCAACGTTTTTATAGATGAAGTCACGCGGGATTTAGAAGGCGTTTACGCTTTTGTCGATGACTTGCTCATAGCCTCTAAAGATTCTGAGGAACATTGCAGGCATTTGAAAGCTTTATTTTCCAAACTTCAGGAATATGGACTTTGCATAAATGTTTCAAAATGCACCTTTGGTCAAACATCTATTGATTTCTTAGGTTTTCACCTTAGTGAAAACGGAATTGAACCTCTTCCTGACAAAGTCAAATGTATTTTAGATTTTCCTCAACCTACCACTCCACTCTCACTCAGCTTCGCCGATTTTTAGGCATGTTTAACTTTTATAGATGTTTCATACCTAAAGCAGCACATATTCTTTCTCCTTTAATAAAATTGTTAGAAGGCTATATTAATAAAAAGAAATCTCGTTCTCGTGTTCAGGATTCATCCCCACAATTAAATTGGAACGAGAATGCTGAACAAGCCTTTATTGCTGCCAAAAATGCCATTGCTCAGGCTACCCTTTTGAGACACCCTATTCCCGGAGCCCAGCTAAGCATCTGGGTAGATGCCTCAGACGTCGCAATCGGCGGCACACTTATGCAGTTGTCTCAACAAACATGGGAACCTATAGCATTTTTCTCTATGAAACTCAAGTAAAAGTCAACAGAAATGGTCCGCGTACGATAGGGAATTATTTTCTATTTATTCTGCAATTAAGAAATTCCGACACATGTTAGAGGGCAGAAATTTTATAATTTATACGGATCAAAAACCGTTAATATACGCTTTTAAACAGAACCCTCATAAATGTTCACCTCGACAATTGCGCCATTTAGATTTTATTTCTCAGTACTCTACTGATATTAGGCATGTGCAAGGTTCAAAAAACGTCGTTGCTGACGCTCTTTCAAGAATCGAAATTGATTCCATAACAAAATCTCCATTTTTGGATTTTAAAAAATTTTCGGAAGCTCAACGGCATGATCCGGAGGTACAAGACCTTCTCAAAAACAACACATCATCTTTGAAACTGGAATTTAAACCGTGCCAATATTCTGATGGTAATATTCTTTGTGACATATCAACAGACATTCCTCGTCCATTTGTTCCGAATTCCTTTCGCAGACTCATCTTTAATCATCTGCATAATCTGTCACATCCAGGAATTGCAGCTACTACGAAGCTTATTTGTTCTCGTTATGTATGGCCCGATATGAAACGTCATATCAAAAATTGGGTGAAATCCTGTGAATCTTGCCAAAAATCGAAAATTACTAGGCATACTAAAGCACCACTGGGCACATTCTCTCTTCCTGATGCACGTTTTTCAGAAATCCATATGGATATCGTCGGACCGTTACCTCCATCAGAAGGCAACGTGTACCTTTTGACTCTAATAGATAGATTCTCCAGATGGCCTGAAGCCATTCCCATCCCGGATATGAAAACGGAAACCATTTGCAGAGCCATCTTCAACTGTTGGATATCTCGTTTTGGCTGCCCATCGATCATAACAACAGACCAAGGTTCTCAAATGAGATCCGCACTTTTTGCAGAATTCACGCGCATTTTGGGTACGAACAGAATCACAACAACAGCCTATCATCCAATGTCCAACGGCATTGTTGAACGATTTCATCGACATTTAAAATCTTCTCTCAAGGCTCACGAGACCAATAACTGGACTGAAACACTACCAGTTGTTATGCTTGGTATTCGGACAGCCGTAAAGGAAGATCTACAGTCATCTTGTGCTGAACTGGTGTACGGCACAACTCTCAAGCTGCCTAGTGATATGATAACGTCATCTAAGATATCTCCGTATGACACACAATTTATCACGAATCTTAGGCATAGAATGCAACAATTGAATCCAATAGCAACATCTGCACATTGCCAAGAAAAATGTTACGTAAGTGCTACCTTAAAGTCGTGTACGCATGTATACTTACGTGTCGATCGAGTAAAGCCACCTCTGTGCCAACCATATACAGGTCCGCATAAAGTCCTTTCTAGAACGGACAAAACTTTCACAATTGATGTTAACGGTCTGAAATCTACTGTGTCTATAGACCGTGTGAAACCAGCCTATTTGCTTTCGGACTCTAATTTGCCTGAACTGAAAACAAATAAAGACTTAAAGACAGTTCAGCAGAATAAATCTGCAAACGAACTCTCTAAGACACAAACTGTCACCAGATCGGGAAGACATGTTCACTTCCCTAAGAAACTTGCTTCTTACATAACAATTTAAAACATTTTTTTTAAAATTCATATCTTAACATATTTCTTGTTATTTCATGTTTATTATATGTGTCAATACCTTGTTATATATTGAATTGCATTTTGATCTTTTCTAATTTTATATTCTAATTTTGTAATCATGTAAAAAATACCCGACAGCACGGATACTCTGAGATAATTTCATAACCTATGTCGTTCCTTTGAATAGCCATTAAAGGAACTGGGGGGAAACTCTGTGGTGATGGCGATAAGGAGCGCGCCTTGCGCCCTCCGATAAGTGTGGCAACCCTAGAGGAGAAAGTTTCTTACGAGTAGCGAGCAGAGCGAAACAGGCAGGCTGTCGGGGGAGTGTGCGCGAAGTTCCTAAATAAAGCTTAATTTTTATTGTGCACTATGTCTTGTTAATATTATATTAATGCAGTAAGAACATAATCTGTGATATGGAATTCGAGGATTGGTGGTAAAAACTAAAACATAAGGAACTTCGCAGGGGTTGTATTAGGGGTTTAAGGAACTATTTTGTAAACTTTTTCTTGAAAACCCGAATAAATCTTTTTAGACTTTGTTATTCAAAATAAATAATCTATTAATTAATCTACTTACACGGATCACTAATTTTATGTATGTCGATACGAAGGAGAAAAAGTTGTACCACAGACTTGGCAAACGTGGCCTTCTATCTCCGACGCCGTGTCTACAACTATTTCGCTCATGCGCAATAAAAGTGTTAAGGTTGGATGGATAGCCCCTGTACAATAAAAATACAGTATTTTTTCCATTTACTTTCTGACGGAGTCACCCCTGCTTTGGCGAAGCTTCGTTCTTAGTATACATATTCTTTGGTTAAAATGTCTGTTTGAAACTTAATGTATGATTCCTTAAACTGTTCTCGAAATGAAGTACAGCTTAATAGCTATGTTTGCCAATGTCATTTTTTGGCAATTTCCTACAAAGCAATATACCTCTACGCTTAATATGCTGTAATAATAAAAAACTGTTGTTTAGAGAAATATGAAATACATACTGAGGGTATTTTTCTGGGCGAAGTATTAAATAAGCTATTTGTCTAGATCTTATGATATTTAATTTCCGAATTCTTATTAATCTTATCTTAATTTATGAGAGTGGTCATTTTCATGCTATTGCGCGTAATAAATTTAAGATTTCATTGATTTGACATACTGTCTTTGTTCTTTTGACCGCGGATTTTTTCAATTCTTTTCACAAGTTCTTCTTCTGAAGAGCTCTGAATATTGTAATTTTTCTCAGTCAATTCCTAGAAAGAATCAGAGGCATAATCAGCACATTTATTAAAAAACCATAATCATTCTGAATGAATTAGAGACTTTTTCCCATGCATCTGTCGTTTCTGTGAGAAAAATGTTTAATCTCGGTTACATCTAAAATACAAAATACGCTTTTATAAAGAAGAGAAGCAATTGAACATGGAAGCTATCGCGACATTATGTATAGCAAGAATTCACTAGTCCTAGGTAGTTAGCTGTCAAAGGTTAACTGGTTTACAAATTGCTGCCCGGTTACTGGAAACGAAACTTCAGTTGACATTGCTTGTTGACTTGAAGGCCACCTTTTGAATTGTATGAAAAGTTGTATTTAGGAAACTGACTATTACTTTTATGTACTCTGAAGAGCTAAAATATTATGACCACCTTCTTGATAACACATTGCGCGAACTTTGTCCTGAAAACAAACTGCTGCAACTTGCCTTAGTATGGGTGCCACATGTTCTTGGTATATGACTGGAGACAGGTTGTACCAAATGTCTAAGCAGCAGTCACGCAGAGTCAACATATTCCGACATGGTGGTGTTTGAGCTCTGAGCTGCTGCTCCATGACATCCCAAATGTGCTCTATCGGGTTAATATCCGGCGAGTTAGGCGGCCAGGACATTAAACAAACATAAAATTACCATATAAAACATACAAAATAAATAAATAAAAACAATATACTTCAATCTAAAAACATATAAGAACAAAAATATGAAAAATTAAATAGGGAAATTTACATAAATTTGCAATGCTAATCTTTAGAATATGGTGACAGGTAGTTTGGCGACATTTTGGTAAGGCGATAAAGGTTACTAGCTAGGACTTTAGCAATAATCTGAGAAGTACACAGTTCGAATCACATATTATTTTGTCTCAGAGAAATGAGAGATCATGGGACATGTAATGTGATACTTTGCGGAAAATTCCGATCGTGATTTTAGCTAATAAGCACTTAGAAACAATTTCGCTGCTTAAGTGCAGAATCGCCCACTTATTTGTTTGGCGCTCTTTACAAGAGTAAGAAGAATTGGATTTTTGTCAATTTTCTTTGACTTTTGAAGTGAAAATAGGTCCATCTGTACATAGATAAAGTCAAGAGTGTGCGCAATGCCATTTTTGTGCAATTCTGGGATTTTTTTTAAGTGAAAATAGGTCGACGTGTACATGGATACCGTGTATGTGCAATTCTTAAAAACGCGGCAAGCAGTTTGCGATTCTGCACTTTCTCCCTATTTCGCACCTAATCTTCGTCACGATTAAGTATTTTTTATTTTTATTCCATAAAAGTTCTAGTATAAGCATAATTCGGCTAGCAGATTGTTGGAAAAAATGTTGAGTAAAAAAAAAAAAAAAAAACTTGCCTTTACTTCGTGAAAACAAAACTAGCAGGTTGCTGTAGCAGGGTTGGTCGCCAAATTTTCGCAAAAAAATCGCCAAGTTACCATAATCTAAAGATTCACCCTTTCCAATAATATCTTACTTATTGAGAAATTATAAAATTAATTACACGATACTGGATAAATGGTGTTTTTACTTCCCTCCGGACATAGGTGAGGGAGGTAATATTCTTGGTCTGAAAATTCAATGGCGAATTTTCAGAGAACGAGAACGAATTACACACATTTTGACTATTTTTACAATGATGTCTGTGTGCCCGTGTCCATATGTGTGACGTTTTTTCGTCTAAAATTACTCTTATATCACATTTCCAAAAATTGGAATTTTCCGAATTTAAACTTTCTCTATTCATATAAAAAGTTGATTAAATTTAGACAACTATAAGTGGTACTTGAAGCCCAGAATAGCGTTTTAATGGATAACTGGAATGGTATTTTACTATAAAAAATCTACAGCAGTTTTGCAACAACCAACATAACGTATTGTCGCATATATAAACCGTAATGGAGATTATACTTATACACGCCCTCGGTTGGCGACAAATTTCTCGCCAAACACTTTTGGCGAGGAACTCCACGGCGCCATATTACTGTTTAAATTTTTTGTCTACATTTCGAACTTTAAGCCTAAAATGTCTGCAAAAACGCGGCTTTCGCACGTGCAAAAACTCAGTTTTTAACTCACAATTTACGCCAAAAATCCGAAACAAAAAATTTAGATAGCAAAAACGTAAAGTTTCTAACCAAAAATATTTGCCAAAAATCCGTGTACACAGCGATCTGTTTTAACGTTAAAAAAATCATAGAGTTGCACAATCTATGCAGCATAGGAATCTAGGAATCACGCACACCTCGCTAAAATCAACTAACATAACAACAATAAATTTCAGACAATACCATGTACATAGCGTTCTGTTTTAACTTGAAAAACAAAAGCGAATTGCACAATATAGGCATCGCGCACAGCCTCTCGGCATTGCGCACAAATCAACAAAATAAACTAAACTAAAATAAATTACAAACAATATTTAAAAAAAAAAAAAAAAAAAAAAAAAAAGTGAACATAACATTTTACAAAAAGAATACCAATAAAATAAAATGCACCTACCATAGTGAATGCTTCTTCAAACAGCAGAAATATCAATTTCAAACATCAGCAAAACTCAATTTCCACCAATTTATCCTTCCCCCTATCTTCTGAGACACAGAGCATAGAAAGTCCAGCAAACATTCGGCAATAAAATTTCCCCCAGTCACATAACGTCTGTGAACAAATGTGCCACGATTTTGCTATATCACACGTTTTTCTGCGATTCAAAATTTCGAAAGTAACGATAAAAACTTTTTCTACCAAAGTTAACTTACTACACGAAAACCGGGATTCAAATCTTAAACTTCGCTAACAGCCAAATACTTTACCTGCAACCATTTGCCTGCAAACCCACACAAGTCCATCAGAAACGCCATTCTTCCTACGAGTTCTCATATCAGCTCCGCATTTCGGACACGCCAAACTCCGTTGTAGAATCCCGACTCCCACAGAAATTTTAAAAATACGCTTCGATCCGCATAAACACACTTGTGAACAAAGGACTTGTTAACAACTCCAACATCGTACCTTTTAATACTAAATTTACCTTGCACACAATCCCAAATACGCGACTGAAATTTTGCCACCAAGTCTTTCATTGCAACATAAGCCATTTCAAAACGCCCACCAAACCAACCAGCAAATAAAACCACTTCAAAATTTCAACGTCAAAAGGGTTGACATACAAACAACATCGCGCTAAAAACCAACGCAGAACACATATCGCCGCATTTGGCACGCCATACATCTGAGGGTGTATATAAGAGTAGTACCACGATGGAATACTATTGCAATTAAACGAGTATTGTTTACTGACATCTAAATACCACGATGATATACGTGCAGATCAAAATAAATTTAGATTTGTGGATCCGACAGAAATAACACTGAAGAAAATTAAATTCAGGTATTCGTTTCAAAGTATTTGTTTTAAATAGCTTATAAACACTTAATTTTCTTTAATTAAAAACCAATTAAATCATATGTTGTTCAACTGCAAAATAAAACACAATAAAAATAAAATGGTAAACATTTGATTACGTTGGTATAAATTTACAGAAACAAGTTTTTGTACATGAACAGTTAAATTTAATAAAATATAATCCCAAATTTCGCATTACAGACCTTTCTACTTAAAAAAAAAAAAAAAAAAAAAAAAAATTAGATTTTATTTATAGATGATCAACCGGAAGTGATACTTTACTTAAAATGTGGAATTGTTACTTTTTAAAACATGGAACTGGTGAGAGGTCACGTGTTGGTCACATATGATTTTTACATTTACTCATTATACATATTCATTCATTTATTTTAAATTCTATTGAAAAATTCTTTTATTATTATGAATCTTTTAATTTTTAAAAAGAAATTTGCAAAAAATTCCAGAAAATCAATCGAAAATATTTTCGTTATATATATAAGCAAGCCATCTGGTTAATTTATAAGTTATCTAATATTTTAAGGTTTTAGGTATTTCCTGTATTTTTAAGTTAACAGGTCAACATAGGAAAACTTTTTACCATAATTTTTGACATCTGTCTTTTTTGTATTGCTTTATACCCCTGTATTGCACATGCCATTTCTTTTTCATGTTGCTCATTCTGAAGACGCCTGTCATTTTCATATTTTGTCATTTGATTATCCAGCTTTTTTTCCATTTCTAGTATTAAATCATCCTAGATAGAATAAATTATCTAAGATAACATACCTTTTAAGGGAGGAACAACAAAAATAAAGACTGAACTTAATTTGAAATACCATATTAATGCAAACTACTCAATACAAGGCAGAAAGCAGAACTAAAATGATTTAAATAATACTCAAATAAAAAATTACCACAATTAAAAAAATGTAAGTTTCATTCGAAAATAAAGTGCTACCTTTGAAATATTTTCTAAATATATATGGAGCGTTATAGGGCATGCTATAACTGTGTAAACTTGAAAATGTCGCTTGCATTAAAAAGGTATAAAGTATTAGATGATCGTCAAATGCTACAGGGGTTGGACAAAAATATGGAAACACCTTTAAAAAAACATGTTTCTTTGCTTAATATGGTGTAGGAAACCCCTTTGGCATCCAAAACAGCTTGCAGTCTTCTCGGAATGGATAAATACAGTTCCTGTATGTTTGCCAAGGGAATATTATACCATTCTTCCTGCAAAACGGTGGCACGTTCAGATAACGATGTTGGCGGTGGATAACGAGAACGCACTTTCAGTTCCAATGTAGACCACAAAGGTTCGATAATATTCAGGTCTGGTGACTGTAGTGGCCAGGGGAGATGGGACAACTCATCCTCGTGCTCAGAAAACCAGTCCTGGACAATATGAGCTGTGTGAACAGGGGCTTTGTCGTCTTGGAAGACATCATCACCATCGGGGAACAAAGTTTGTATCATGGGATGAACTTGATCGGCCAAAATATTCACTTAAGTCTTGGCAGTCATGTGCCCTGACACAGTTAACATGGGGCTAGCAGAGAACCACGATATGGCTGCCCAAACCATAACAGAACCCCCGCCATGTTTCACTCTTGGCAACAAGCAGTCTGTATTATAGGCTTGAGAGGGCGTTCTCCAGACGTAAAGTCGGCCAGAAGTGGGAAACAATGTGAAAGAAGACTCGTCAGACCATATTACTCGCTTCCACTGCTCTATAGTCCAGGCCTTTATGACTTAAACACCACCTTTTCCTGTTACGGGCATTAGCATCACTGATGAGTGGCTTCTCAATTGCAGCACGATCACCAAGGACACACTTTCGTCCGCGCTGTGATTTAGCAGATGATGTTTTTCCGCTTATCAAATATGCGGAATAAATCTTCGATACAGTACCTCTTGAAACACTAAACACCTCGGCTACCTTGCTTGCGAAAGCACCTACCATACGTGCTCCAACAATTTGCCCACGTTCGAAGTCTGTTAACTCTGACATAATGCAATGACAACCTCACATAACAGTACTCCGACAACAACTGAACTGTTTAGCACATTTACGAAGTTGTATAGGTGGCGTCAGTAGTCAAAAATGCCAGCGCTACCTACATATTTCATTAAAATCAATTTTCTTTTCAAACATGCATATCACAAGGTGTTTCCATATTTTTGTCCATCCACTGTATATTTTGGTTTCCTATCTTGATAAAGTTTTTCCAACGAAAATTAACCGAATTTGGACGCGGAATGCTCGATTCATAAGGACATAGAATTTCAAAAGTTGTTGAAATTTTGGGAATTTCTCGTTTATGTCATGAAAGGTATTAGCTGCGACAAAGTCTGTCAAGTGTGTATTAAAAGTATGTCATGAAAGGTATTAGTTGCGACAAAGGGCAGAGCAGTAGCCCATTACGTTCGCTGAATCGAGACTATTGACAGGTTGTCCTTGTAAACAGGCGACCAGCTTAACATGAACTATCCCTTTCAGGGGCGCAATGTTATGATTTTTTAAAAGTTATGAAAAAGTAAGCATAATGACATGCAAGGGTCCTATAGACAACATAAATGAGTTAAAAAAATTTGGAAAGGGGACCGGTTTCGCCTTGAAACCAACGTCCGTCTAGAACATTTAAGCCTAAACATTTGCTTATTTATCTTTACTTTGTTGGAAATTATCTGAACGTAACTCAAATTGCAGATTATACTAGTAAATTACTGAACAACTAATGAAATAAGTAATATTTGCATAAACACGCATTTTTAATTATAAATAAAAAATTTAAAACAGGAAATAGAAATATGAGACAAAAAGTAACTAATAATGCTCTAAATTACTTACATAAAACTATGAAATATTTTTAAAAATTATGTTAAAAACTAAGAAAATTATATGTGAAAATAAAATAAATTTAGATGCATACAAATATTTTACTATGAACTAGAAGCATGAGAAAAGCGACGTCTAAGAGAAGCAGAATAAAAACGCAACTGTGAGTGTTCTTCAGTGTGCTCTGTGCCTGTGTAAAAAAAAAGAAACGTTTTCTCTCTCTCAAAAGCCCCATAAATCCTAATCTTTGAAGCTACTCAAACGAAGATATGTTGCAACTATTTACAGCAATGATCCGAAAGCAAAAAACACAGCTGTAAAAAATCTCGCGTCTGCGTCATCTGATCCTTTCTTCGATGTCTCAGAGGGGCGGTGGTTTCATACTGAAACCGCGATGAAAACATTCAAAATTAAAAGGGTTCAATTACTTTTTTTTTTGTGAACTAAGGACATTTCATTAATCATTGATGCCTACTTATAAAATATATTGTGGAAAAATTAAAACTTGTTGGGTTTTTTGCTTTTAAAATGGCTCAAAAAGAATAGTGTTTAAAAGGAGCTATTTTTGAATGATTCGTATCAATTAATGGATGCCCCGTAAGGTCTGCTGCTGCCATCTGTTATCAGCTTTAAGAAGTAATTTAATTTTAGCAGCGGTTTTGAGAAAATGAAACCAAATTTTCTAAATTTAAAAAAAATGTTGAAAATGCGGTTTCAAGGCGAAACCACTACCCCTGAAAGGGCTATGTACTACAGTCATAAAGCAACGTTCAGAAGATGTGTCTGTGGAGGGACTGTGTAACGAAAATTGGCGTTGATGGAATATGGAACAGAACATGGAACTCGATGCCTTTACTCACAACCCAGTATTCGTGACACAGAAGTACAACACGAGCAACACTTTACACAGAAACACACACCATGAGTCCCTTTACTCCCAACATAGCATTTCAGCTACTCGTCTACATCCAAATTCATAAGAGTTTGCATAAACTAAAATTTAAAATAAATTGTCCCAAAATGAAGTAAATTAATAAAAAGACAAAAAGACTGAAAGGTTTCAGATTTTAAATTGCGTTCAAAGGGGCATTTTTTTTTAACGTTTTGTGCGTTACCTTTATTTATTAAATATCACGTTCTACGTACTCAAACTATGAAATTCAGTTCAAAAGCAATATCGCAAATTAGTTTTAAAATGAGCATATCTTTAGAATTTTAGATACAGAGTCTCGCGCGCTGGAGATAAAATTTTTTTTTTTTTCGTACAGTGTTGCCATTGCTCGCTTTGAAATCGTTTAATTTTTTAATCAAAAATTCGTTGAAGTGTTACAAAATATGAAATCGATAATAAAACAAATTTCAAATTCAAATTAGTGCTTCCACATGCCCATATTCTATGGAAGATTACGTTACTCAAATTTTGATGGCTCTAGGTACAGCTGTTTTATCACAATGCGAGAAACATGCATACATTTACGCAGGTTATTGATTATTTAATTTCTTTAAATATAAGACAGGGTAATAATATAACGTGGCAACGATTTGAAAAGTAATACAGCCTTTTAAAGTTTTCGACGCAAAATACCAAAAGGAAATTAATAGTCCTTCAAGGCAAACTGCCCCTTTGGACTAAAAATTAAAAATTACAATAAGAAATACGTACAATTGCTAAATCTAGAAATTAGTCACGTCAATAATGTTACAAATAATTACAAAAAATAATCCTAAAAACTAAAAGCGTTACTTACTGTAATTATACTCTTCTATATCAAAAAAATTTTCTAACCAATAAAAAAGTTAGAAAAAAAAATTAAAAAAATCTGAAATTTTTCAGATTTTAAATTACGTCCAAAGGGGCGTTTTTTTAACGTTTTGAGTGTTACCTTTATTTATTAAATATCATGTTCTTTGCACTTAAACCATAAAATTCAGTTCAAGAGCAATATCGCAAAATAATGTTAAAATTAAGCATATCTTTAGAATTTCCGATATACACAGTCTCGCGAGCTGGAGATAAAAGTATTTTTTTTCTATATACGTTGCCATTCCTCGCTTTAAAGGATTGAGTTTGTAAATCAAAAATTCGTTAAAGTTTTACAAAATATAAAATCTATAATAAACAAATTCCAAATTTGGGATTTCAGATGCCCATATTCGCAGTAGGATTTCGTCATTCAAAATTCGATGGCTCTATGTACCATTGTTTTATCACAATGCGAGAAATAGACAATCATTTATGCAGATTTTTCATTATTTAATTTCTTCAAATATAATGCAGGACTCTAACATTTTGTGGCAACAGTTTGAAAAGTGAACCGACGTTTATGAGTCCGACGCAAAATGCCAAAACGAAAGCAATAGTCCTTCGGGACTGAAATCCCTTTGGACTAAAAAGAGCTTAAGAGTTATAAAATTGCTGTTTCTGGCTAACATTCTTTAAGGATAAATAAGAACGGAGTTAAATTTAGGTATTGAATTTCCTCCTTTCTTCCTCCTTGTATGATTGTAGAGCAATGTAATCATTTTTTGGCTGAAAATCTTCAACTAAATGCTTGCTTGTATTTCTAAAATAACGTAAGGGCGAACAAACTTGTAACATTATACTACTTATTAGTAAGTCTAAGGTTGTTGGAGAAAGCAATTTAGCTAACTTAACGAATAAATTTTATAATACATACTCCTGATTGGTCTTAGGAACAAAGAACTAACGTTACTGCTTCGAAGTACAGAGTTGCAGTGAAATTCTGGTGTCTATCATTTGGCGAATAAAACCATGTGGTTGTCGCCAAAGGAAAGACGTAGCTGTTAACGCTGGATGTAAATTACTTGTAATTATTTCTGGCAAAATGTTAAGGAAACAGAAAAATACAAAGACAACAGCAAATAATCTTAGCGCCAAATTGAAATTACAGTCGTCTGTTATTGAAAGAATAGTTGCCAAAAACTGTATACAGAAATTTTACAAAGGAATTTACTTAATTGCGATATATACAAATCTCCAACCAAACTTAACTCATCTTGCATTATTCTGCTAAACGGTGTGAAATAGTGCGATCATAATAAGATTAAAGATTAAATTTAGTAGCTAACGCCAGCTTTATTAAGAAAAAAATGGGTAAATGTTTTGGGGATTTGATTTTTAATTAAGGTATCTGTTAGTAAAATAATTTCTTCTTCTAAGTAAGAAACTTCTGTACAAATATTTTAATTCTGTTTTGTTGATTACAAATTGTGTTACTTATAAGCTTTTTTGAAATGTTTGACTGCCAGCTGATTAATTTGGTAGTTTCAATTTTAAATTTCCTTTTAATTTTATAATAATCACGTATATATAAATCAAGATATTCTTTTTCTTTTTTGCTTGTATTAGTTTTATTTAGTACTAAGCAAGTTGGGTAAAAGTTGTAATTTTCAAGATTCTGAAAATTATTAATTGCAATTATGTCATCATGGTACTTAAATGGATTTGAAAAATATATCAACTGTGCCTAGTGATTTCTGGAACTCAAATTCTTTAGACAATAAGTTTGTAGTTATGCATGTAGCAATTACTCTTCAAACAGTCTTCGTTTCGCTTTATATTCACTCCATTGCATATGGTACTTCGATATACAAGTAAACAAATTTAAGTGGTCTTTTGTGATTTTAGAATTACTGGAGTTCTTACTTTTCAGCTTATTAGTCGGGAAATTCACCTGAACTGTTAGAAAATCTGGCTGTAAAATTACGTTTTGAGTTTTACGATTACATTTTATAATTAAAATACTCAGATAATGTATGCTTCTGAAATTTTGCTGTAATAACCTGACATCAAGAAGTTAAAGGAGATAAACCTTTAGAAGTAAAATGAAGAGCTGAGAAACAGTACTAGAGGTACATCTGCATCGATACCGACTGTGAAGGATTTTTTTAAATATATTATTTATATTTCTGTACCTGGAAATAAAAAAGATGTCTAATCATCTTTATATATAAGCGGCTAAAGTGTGTGTCGCCGATAGTTTATTGTTGTCACTCGGAAAAATGAGCGCGCAAATAACGTTTCCGCAGTTTTTAATTAATATCTCGGCCGATTAAAGTCGTACGAAGATGAGAACGGTATTGATGGATTCGGAGAATTTTTTTGAATCCGAGGATACGCGTCTCGAATTTCAACTCGGCGCCGTTCCATAGATATTTCGAGAAAAAAGAATTTGCCACGTAGCCAAATCCCTCTAATAGGAGAAAAACCCAAGGAAAGAAAGTGAAAAATGTAGGGAAAACGTAGGCGAAAATTAGTTTTAAATTAATATTTAGGCTAATTAAAGTCCCACGAAGAAGTGAATGGTCAAAATGACGTGCCACGGACCTGCGGAATCCAACGGTGTGCTTCGCTAAGCCCGGGAGCCAGCCGTTTCGGAGGGGATGATGTTACTTCACCCCAAATATATCATATATATATATATATATATATGCGGCTTAAGTGTCTGTTTGTCTCCGATAGCTTATTGGTTGCTTGCGTAACTGTACTAACCAATGAGGTGAAATTGCCACGGCACAGGGTTGCCGTTTCAATTAGACAATTTCCTGTAAAACTTGCCTTTGCTATGACCATCCATCTCAGGGGCAAACGCTTAAGCGTGTTGGCATTTTTTTACCAGAGCCTGCATTTGGACACGGTCAACTTTATGTTGCCTGTTCAAGAGTTCGTGAAAGAACAGACGTCAAATTAAAAATAATTAATGGCCTTTTGCAAGGCGAGCTTAAAAATGGTGGAAAGATGTACACAAGAAATGTTGCGTACAAAGAGATCTTTGACATGTGAATTAGCATTTCATTATTTAAATCACCTTTATTTATTGAGCTGGCGATGGCTCTTAACAAATGTACCGCCAGTGGTTTCCTTCATTGCACTCTACTTTAAGCAATTAAGAAAGTAGAAGGGGGAAACCCCGTGGGGCAGTAAGCCTGCCCTGGATAATTCAGTTTAAATTAGCAGACACCTTTGCACAAATCATTTTAATTACAATTTATAATATCTAGAAGAGCAGATCATATGACGTCCGGGCTTTCTAGTTATATATATTTATCATATTTACAAAGGACAGCTTTACATGCTTTAATATGACGTAGTTTTAAATAGATATTTGACACTCGATTTAATCATTGCACTTTATTTATGTAGTTACTGTTATTTTATTTAATTATGTTGATGTAATAGAAATTTAGAGCATAAAAGGCTTAAATTTGAGCTGCAGTAAATACATTAGGGATTTATAATTAACAGCAGAAGCTAGTTGATTAATTTCGGAATTTAACATGCTAATTTGAATTTAAAAGTGCAGATTTTAATTGCTATCAGCTCAGATACGAAGATTTTAAAGACTTTATGATAACATTTACCGCGATTTTCAAACTGAAGAACCTTGCACATCTGCCATAAATTTTTAGGGTCTAAATGGAAGCATTACTGTAAAGCTAATCTTACTTCCTCTTCGAGAACCTTTCTTTCAATCAAAACTTCTTCGGCAAATAAATCTGTCTCGGTACTGTTAACATTTTGGACTCTCCATGTTGAAATCATACCATCCTCTCCAGTTGCTAATAACGTACATCCACCATCTTTTAAACGAAGCTACAATCAAAAGGATAAAGAAAGTGTAACATTATAATCTTTATCAATTGAGAAACTAATATACTGTTCGTAATAAAATAGAGAAAAAGATGAAATGAAGCTAATATCGTTGAAAGATTAAATATTTGTTCAAACGAAATTCAGACTTTTGTAACAATTACTCTAAAACCCTTGTTTCACCTCAGTCATATCCGAATTTGTAATTGCCGCTTTCATTAATTTCTGAATGTCTGCCACCGTAAATTCCGCGGAGCTCTTTTGAACAAATGGGACGCAATCAACTTTATTCTAAGAAATAATTCAGGCGGTGACTTCCCGGTAGTAACATGCTTAGCCGTCCGCCAGGCAAAAGAGATTTTATTGGCACAAGTTTTGTGTTATCAACGTTTGTCATAATTTTTACATAGTTGAGGATCATTTTAAGTGTGTTTCTGTTCATCCGGTCGGCAATATTCGACTGTGGTCGATATGGGATATGTTGTTTGTCAAGACCTATACATATTACCTCAAAAACATGACCATCGAATTCCTTTCCGTTGTCCGACATTATTTTAAGGAGTGCTTCAGACTTTAATATAAATTTATTTAAAACTGCATGATATTAGGAGCAAATTTAAATTTTTATTTTTTCACAAAGTAAGTAGGGACCTAAATAGATCGATTCCTATTAATTCAATGGGAAAAGTAGCTTTTGTATTGTTTAGGTGCTCAGTTGCATTATAGTAAATATCGTTAACTGACTGAAAAATGTTACAATACTTGGTACATTCGATTACAAATTTTTGTAGCTGTGGAAAAAAAAGAATAGCTTCCCTTACTTTCTGGAATATTTTTCTTACTCCAAGATGGCCTGAAATTGGCGTATCAAGCATTTCCTCGAAAATAGTTTAACTCGCTGGGATAACCAACCTTAAAGCCTTATTATTATTTATTACACTGGGGTAGAAAAAAAGATTGTTTATTATTTCATAATTTGTAGCTCTCTTTCTACTACTAGTCAGATCATGGTGTTGTGATCAGACCAGTGATCGGTTCTTTAAAATATGCTTAAGTAGTTTTAAATTCCAGGTTAGTTTGTAGTTCTTCGATAATCGTTTCTCGAGAATTTAAAATTTTTGAAGTTAACATTGTACATTTAAGGTTACTCTATCTACGCATACACATTGCTTGCCTTGGATAGCTATCACTATCGACCCCGCGAACCCAAATTCTGTGTACCGTTTAAAGGTTTCCTAAAACATTTTCTGTCAGAAAACTACTGTGCGTACCTGTATCCAATAATGTATCTACTGGTACGCTATTTAGTAAAATTTGAATCATTGAGAGAGACAAATTTTTTATCAGTATCGTATTTAATTGAATCTGAAAAGGATTTTTTCCCCTCTCTAGTTGATTATACCCTTTTGCATTTCAGTACCCTGACTAATTTAAAGTTTCAGAATCTTTCCCAATTTCCTCTTTTGCGAATTATTTTGGCTATCTCCATTAATGGGTGAAATTTCCCTGCCGGTTATCAAAACGTCTACTGCAATCAAACTTTGGACTTCCTTCTGCTACAGATCTACAAAAATATGTGCTCGATCTCTGTTCATAGCTAGCTGTGCTCATTGACACTCGCCTAATTTCAAACTTCACCGCTAGCTTAAACAATTGTTTTAGCTTGAGTTTCGTAATTCCACAAAATACAGAATTTAAGACAATAACATGGGGAATATTACTTCCATAACCTCCTCATTGGGTTTTTCAAACACGATAATTTTACTACAGTAAGACCCCGCTTAACGTGGGGGATACGTTCCATCGAAGTAGAGCGTAATGCGAAACAGCGCTAAGCGAGGCTAACATGTAAATAATGGGTTAGGGGAAGACGGATAAAAAATGGTTAGGCATTAAATTTAATAATGTTTTTTTTAATAAAAATAAATCAAACATTTATTTTACAAAAATAAAAACAATATAAACGCATATACTTTTAAAAACAAATAAATTCTCAGTCAGATCATTCAGTCTATTTTGGGTTTCAATTTCTGCCCTTTTTTGTCAAGAAGGCATTATGATAGATTGGCTTAATGGCATATTGCGTCATTTCGTCGCCAATCCATATAGACAGTCGTTTTTCCATTTCCTCTATAATGTTATTTCTAGAACGGGTAATTCTAGTTGCAGAGCTCGACGTAGTTGCAGTTGCCGATGACAGTATTTTTTCTTTATTCTTAAGAATTGTCCTATTGTTGAAGTTGCCAAAATCAATGCAGCGCTAATTTGAGATTGACGTTCACCAGAATCTAATCTTCTAATCACTTGCATTTGAGTTTCAGTGAATGCTTTTTCTGGTTGCTTTCTTTTCTTGTTTTTTATTATCACCCATGATAAAAACTAAAGATCATAATATTTGTCACTGTATTAATCGTTGTAGTATTATACAAATTTAAACTTACAATAATGTCAACAAATGTTTCAAATGATAAAAATGCGTCCACCAAGCAAGAAACACAACTACAACTGTTTCGGATATGTTATTTGGAAACCTAGCGCGGCGCACCATTTCGGAGAATCCCGGGTTGAAATAAAAGAGCGCTAAACCGAAACAGCGTTAAACGAAACAGCGTTAAGCGGGGTCTTACTGTACTTGTATTTTCCTCTGTATAAACTAACTTAACTCTTACACCTTACTTGAATATCTACCAAAGAGCACCACTTCTAATTTCCCTCAATCTATCATCAGTAGGAATCTTTCAAAAGGGCAATTTTAAATATTCTGAACTTATTATTCTCACTGCCTGGTTAACCAAATAAAAATTTACCCTTGCCTTTGTACTAGCTCAGTGCTTGTCCTCAAAGCGCGGTGTTTGCTATGGTGATCTGTAACTCTGCAACCGGATACAGTAGAAATTGAGTCTCTAACTGTTCAAAAAATGTCACTAACGAACTTCTACCATCAAAGATAATGGCAGGTTTCATCGACGCTGGCATAGCACCTATGATGAACCTGAAGCCTCCCGCTGGACTTTCTGGTGCCAGTGTAGCCAGTAATTTTAGGGGGAGAGGCAGACTAAATATTGCTTTTTTTTTTTTTTTTTTTGTTGCAACATGATTCGCAATTTGTAACCATGTAACCCTAACAGACGTGAAGGGAGTAACCGTTATGTCTTAGAACAATGACAGAGTCTTGAGAAGGTTAAAATAACTTTTGTTTTTAAACAGAACTTAAAACATTAGGGCACTCCCTTGCGCTACAAATAACCACAACTCGTGGTTATGCAAATAAATAGAACAGTGAAATTTAAATCAAACGTTGAGCAGTAGTCAAGGACTAATGCATCATATGATACTTACATTGATTACATTGCTTTGATGACAAGGGATTTCAAATATTGCACCTCCTTCCAGAGTCAGAGGAAATGCAGTAATGGATCCTTTCATGGTTCCTCCAAGCAACATAATATCGGCTATAACTAAAGCAGTCATTTGCACATGTGCGTCTAGCTCCCCATTCAGCTACAAGAAATAAGTGTTCAATAGAACATACATAACAGTCCACGAGATCTGACTACTCTGAGGTGAAAGTAAAATTTCTTGATTAAAATCAATAAATTTTCTTAATTTAAATTAAACAGGAGCTATTTTGATACATATGCCTCTTAAATTATCTTAGCTTTTACATTATATATTACTATACTTTATTTTTAAAAAAATGCCTACGGTCACAATATTTGAGAAAAATAATTGCTCGTGTTTTGTACCCAAATATATATTTTCAGAAATATCCACATTCTTCTGCACATAGAGATGTAATACATAATAAAATATTTATATACACTTTAAACTTAGCAGAAATAAACTATTTTATAGTGAACAACTTCTATTTTCTTTCGTTTATTCGTTCGTAGAAGGCAACAAATCCTTACAGTTTTCTTCACTTAAGGGGCGATTGGAGAGAGAAGAACAAGATCCAGTCGAGCAAACTCAGATGGTAAAAAATTACCGTCTAGCATATGTTTAGTTGGGCACCATAATTTTAGCAGCAGAAAAGGCAGAAAATCAACTCTGCTTTAGCAGGATTTGAACTCTGTATCTTCCGACTGCCAGCAGGACATACCACAAGTTACATCATGAGCACGAACAATGCGGAAGGTGAAGCTACCATTTTACGTAATTAAAATCTAATTAATGTTTCTTTTAGTAATACTGATGATTGATTATATGGTATTTCAAACATTTTATTAACAAAATGCTGAAGCTCCTTTTTTCGGAGGGTTGGGAAAGGTCCGAAATCTATAAACACTTACTTATATATGTCGATCTAGTTAAAATACAGACGTTATGATTAAGTGAATACAATTAACATAATACCTCTCAGTTTAAGCTTTATTTTCCGCATTTTTTAAATAAGATAAAATTACAGTATAAGATTATTCATAATTACATGAGACATTTTAAAAATTGATATTAAATAGGCTATGCAGTGGATCATGGTAATTCTTACGGCGATGGAAGAAGACGTTCTTTGAACTTTCTTAACAAAAACTTAATGCTCGTATTTGTCGTGGTAAGAGAGAGCAATATGGCGTTCTGTAAACATGAGAATCATTTTCTGCATTATAATAATGATAATAATAAAACAGGCTGCCTATTTTAATTTTGAAGAGACAATTTTGAGCAGAACTGCAGATAGCAGTATCAACAAGTGGCACGCAATGCATCGGGCCGCCCAGAAGATATGGATGTGAAATTGTCTGTCCTTTGATAGGATGTAACGGTGGCTGCCTAATTGGGTGCTTCCACAACAAAATGGCCACCACTTCTGGCCTTAGTAGTGGCCAATGCCGTTATAAGCAACTGCATACTATTCGGGGGGGGGGGAAGATCATCGATCGGAATGTGTAATTTTTCTTTGCGGGAATTTTTGCTTTTTGCATTTGCAAGCATTTGTGCTTTCGCTCTTTCTAATCTTCAGGGTCTTCATTACTATATCAGCAATACTATAGTTTTGGTCAACCGAATCGTATTCGCTTCCGTGAGAGGCAAAATAGATTATCACGCAGATGACTGCTATATCAGTAAAGATGGACATACTGAATATTTGTGAAATAATGTTAAAAGAAACACCATTCATCTCTTTCCTTCTTTTTAAGCTTGTGACTGTAATGCATAGATGAGTTTTTCCACTATCTCGGTATATTAAAATTTGGTATCTTTGAGCAATTTTTTTGTTCCGAATTTTTAAGCTTAATTGCGGGATTATTGCGACCGCATTTATATTTCGAATTCTGTATAAAAAATTAACATGTTACAGGGCCCTTATAATTAATTATAAGTATCGTAATGTTCGTTAAAAATGCTAACAAATAAAACCTTTGATAGCATAATGCGCAAAATCGATTTAGCAGAGATACTTGAGACAAATTATTGACACAGCTCATTTTTTCATGCCATATTACAGATTTAAATTCGAACCAGCAGTTTAAGAAAGGTGTTCATTTTGAGATTAGTAGTTTCATCATAAATAAAAGAGCATTCCTCGTTAAATTTTCAGCTGGCTACCTTATTTTTGATAAAATCGAATCTGGCTTAGAGCACCTCAACAAATTTAACTTAAAAACGTGGAATTTGTTTATTTTTAACAATCATTTTATTATTAATTACGGATAATAAACAAACAAATGCGACGTATAAATTATTACAAATAGAGTTAAAATTATATTCATTTGCGATAAATTTTATGCTTTACTATGTTTCATGCTACCAACTTTCTTTATTCATTTTTTATTGTGCGATACATTTTAAGAATAATTTCAGTGAAAAATATTTTTCTAACTATATATTTAACTATACAGTGGTGGCCAAAATTGTAGACACTTTTGGAAATTTTTATGTTTTTGAACTTTGTATGCTTGTAGAAAATGTTACTTTTCGCAAAATGCAAACTTGTATATATCATTTTAAAGAGAATTTATTACTGAATTAAATACAAAACACAAAATTCAATTATTTGCAATACAAAAAAAAGTTATATGTACTTTAATATAAATAAAAAACACAGTTATGAAGTGGTTTGTAATGTCTAGCTTTCCTGGCCAATCACTGTTCTTGTTCTGAGAACCAATCAAATGTTAGTAACTGCCAGTAGAAGCTGACATCATGTTTACACTTGAAACAATTCATTATTTTGCTTTGTTCTGTAGAAGGAGGACCTGTTTCTTATACACTGCAATTACAAGTAGGAATTTTTTAAAAATTTTTAATATTTAGTCAAGAAGCAATGACATCAAATAAAAGAATAGATTGGACACCTAGAAAGAGATGTAATATTATTGAGTTACGAGAAAGTGGTCTTTCCTATGCTGAAACTGCAAGACAGGTGGGTGGTTCAGTGACTACATCTGGGGTCCGAAAGTTTTGTTTACCATATCAGGAGACAAATTCAATAAAAAAACAAAGAAGGAAAAGGCCGAAAAAGGTGCACCACATCTTTTGATGACAGAAGAATAAAAAGACTATGTCCCCAAGATAGGAAAATGTCATCAGCGGCCATCAGAAGTGATCTGAATGATGCTGGTGTTTCTGTCAGTTCAAGAACAATCAGGAGAAGATTAACAGATGTTGAACTGAGAGGTAGAATTCCACGAAAAAAGCCTTATCTTAATTTTCAGCAACGAAAAAAAGACTACAGTGGGCAAAGGAACACATTAATTGGACAGATGATCAGTGGTCACAAGTTAAGATATCGTTATTCGGTAGTGATGGGCGAAAATATGGAAGACGTAGAATAGGAGAAGAGCTACATCCTGACTGCATTCAGGCAACTGTGAAGAACCCAGTTAGTGTTATGATTTGGTCATGCATGTCAGCAGATGGTATTGGACGCCTTCATGTCATCGATGGGACACTGAATGCCAGAATACATTGACACTAGTCTAGAACCAAAACTTCTACCTTCCATCAGAGATCTCTTTCCCAACAATGCTTAGTTTATTTTTCAGCAGGATTCTGCTCTTTGCCACACGGCCAAAAATATCGAAAGAGTAGTTTCGTACAAAGAGCATTAAATTGTTGTCATGGCCAGGAAACAGTCCTGACCTGAATACTATCGAAAATTTGTGGCACCGTTTGAAAACTCTTGTCCGAATGAGGCGCCCATCAAATAAAAGGGAACTAATTGAGGCTATAATTGTTTCCTGGCATCATGTAATAACGAAAGAACAGCTTAAATCTTTTGTCAGCTCAATGAAACGTCGATATGAAGCTGTAATCAAAAATAAAGGGTACCCTACTAAGTACTGATAACTCACTGCAATCATCACTATCTAATGTATATCGATAACTATTATCGTTTAACTTTTTTTGTATTGAAAATAATTGAATTTTGTGTTTTGTATTGAGTTCAGTAATAAATTCTCTTTAAAATGATGCATACAAGTTTGCATATTGTGAAACGTAACGTTTTCTATAAGCATACAAATTTCAAAAACATAAAAATTTCCAAAAGTGTCCACAATTTTGGCCACCACTGTATACATAACTATTTCTAACTCTCTCTCTCTCTCTCTCTCCATATCTATATATATATATATATTCATTCACTATATTATATAAGGCTCAAAAAAACTTAGTTTAATATGGAGATTTAAAATTTGCTACCTAATGCTGAGCAGGAAATGGCAGACCCTCCAAATTTGTTTTCTTGTTCTATGCTGATCGAATAGTTGCCTAAACTGCTTATGCAGTTGAATTGTTACATTATTTTGTCAGACTCCTTTTGTGATTGAATAAATTTTAGCTGTTACATTTTGTTCTTAGCTGATGTTTTGATTCAAGTTATAATTCATGAATAGCTATCAAAGGTGTAAAGAGTCTTTGGATCGTGGTTCACAAACATATAGAAAGTTTCGACCAGTTTTCTATAAAGCTCAGAATCTGAAAATATATTGTACTTAAAATATTTTCAAGATAAAAAAACTGCCTGTAAAAGCTTATCATTTTCTTATACGTACAATTGTTTATATTTCTGTGTTTATTTAGTGCTTCCTGTACGAGACGTGGAAGTGGTAGTTCACGCAGCTCACATAGCTGAAATATCAAATTAACTGCATATATAAAAGAAACTGGCGTCATAACTGTAAACATAAGATAAAATAATGTATTATTGTTTCAGGAAATTACTACAGTTTGTAACAATATTTGTTAATAAATTACATACGACAGTGTTGCTGAAACGTCTAACTTTGCCGCCCGAGGATGCAACATACGTGTTATCCGTCGAAACAGCAAAAGCACTGCATGTTTGCTCAGGTATTTTATACACCCATATTTCTTTCTTTTTAATAATATCCCATTCATGGATTGTCCCTTCCTGATCAGAGGAAATCAGATGATTGTCATCCCTCCAAACAACTTGATTAACCTAGAAATTCAAATGTTTTCTCAATGCATTGAGCAAGAAATAAATTAACAAAGAAGCACAATTGTATTATTTGAATCAAAAATCACGAAATAAGATTTTATTAAGAGCAACATCTTCTGAAAATCACCATTTAATTATTTCACATAAAGTTTTTTACCATTCAGTTTCACTTCTCTTTCGCCTGATAAGCTAAATATTTGAAATGATATATATTGTTTTATTTGTTGTTTTTTAACACGGTATACTCCTTCTCCTTCATGCTACTGAAGAATACCTTGAATGTTACATATGCACGTAAAAATGTTCTGAAATACGCCATACAACAATTGCATTAAATTATCGCAAAGTTTGCATTTCTGCAATTATTCATATTTAAATCATTATTCTTAATCTTTGATATGATGAGTGAATTGATGATCGGGATATTACTGAATTTTTCCAGCACTTACGTATTAAAACAACCACCTTAACGCAATTTGACGATTTGTTTTCAGATGAAAAAGTAGAAGTTACTTGTTGGGTGCAAAATGGTGGTTTCTCGCGCCTTTTTTTTTTTCTTTTTTTTTTTCAGAAAGATTCCTAAACTATCGATGTTCATCGTATGTCAGTTAGCATCATCCACATATGAAAAGAAAACATACTTTAGCAATTTAAAACCCAAATTTTAATTATCAAATAAAGATTACGTGATGCATTCAAAAAATGAAACACATTCTTCTTCAAATTCTTTCGGTAATTTTCTTGTGCTATTCTTCTCTCGAAGTACACATCGCTTAAAACGATATTAGAGAGCTGAGGAGACTCGACTTTGTGCAAACCTCCGAAAGAGCAGCTATCTAGAAAGAAAATTTCTTCCTTGTTTCCTTTAGAAAATTGTCAGCAAAATTTTGTATTTCTTCTGAAATTTTACCGCAGTTTCTTCCATTGTTGGCAAATTCCATAAGCTCTTATTTTAAGACTAAGGCAAAAAATACTGCGATTTATTTATAAAAAACCTTTGGAACTTGGAATACCAAATAATAATAAAGGAAAAAAAAAATAAAACCGCCTACGAAAATAGCGGCTTTGCTCGATTGAAGAACTGTTATGAGCATGGTCACAGAAAAAATAGGTATTCTCACGGTTGTCAGAGTTTGACACATGTTGAAAATCTGGCGACTTCAACTAAGGTGGTTGCGTTAATATGTAAGCATCATTTTCCTCTTGTAGTAAAGCAGTATATTTTGGGCATTTACTATTACAAAAAACGTTAACGTTTTCAAAAATCAGTTTGGAATTGCATTATATTCGTAGCTATATGTGTTATGAACGTCATAAATAACTTGTGAAAAGTTGCAGCTAAAAAAGGAAATGGGCAAAATAAGCTATTCACATTTAAAAAAATATATGCATTTATTTTTATCATACTTTAGCCATACGAAATGCGATATCTTGATATTTTCTTTTAATATGACAGATAAAACATAGATTAACAGAAAAGCAGAAAACGGATTATTAGTAACCAATAAAAAAATTTACTTCCGTAAATTAGTAAATTCGGTAAAAAAATATACTTTAAACGGAAAGAGAAGCAGCATAGAATTATGCGCTATTGGGTAATTTACCAGCTTTCCCAGCAACACGAAGTAAATTCTAAAACAGCCTGAACTCACTATTTTCTTCTACTACATATTGCTATGGAACATATGCGTATAATTGCATAATACTATTTAATTTTATATGCATATAAAATTAAAATGTATTATATATGAAATTTACAGAGATACTTATGCTATCTTGAATAATACTGTTACGAGTTTTTTATCTACTTAAATATTTTTTGTGATTTGTTTTTTTTTTTAATAACGTAACATGAAAATCTAGATACGCTGGAAAAGTAAGAATACAGGGGCTAGTCTATTTAACATTGAGTAAATGGCTGTCTAGGTAATTTGGCGAGATATCACCAAGCTGTCAACGGTTTTGGCGACTTACGCTTGTCACCAAATTTGGCAAGAAATCGCCAAAAGTTGCCAAACTTGGCAATCATTTCGCAGTATTTGGGTCCGGTTCCTGTATCACCGTAATGAGTATTGTAATTGATTCTCTATGCAGCTGTAATCGAAAATACTGGATTTTCGAAATTACTGGAAGGCTTTCACATGCCTTCCAGTAATTTTCTCGGCGGCTGGGTGAAAATTATATAAGACCTTAGAGAACATCTGCTTTCACTTGTTAGTTCAGAGTCGACTACGGGGTATTGAGATATCCGTGAGATATCCTTTAAATGAGCTTAACGCGTTGTGCTTAAAGTTCTTAGTAGTTTTAAGTGTAATTACTAATTGCATTTATTGATACTGTGAAGAGCAGTACGACTATTATTTTAGAAAGTTCCTGGACTATGAAAAGATTCTTTTGGTAAAATAAATTTATTAAGCTATCATCCATTTCATGTGTATTCAGTCTATTACGAACCCTTATGCAGGCAACAATATTTTGACTTTTTTTAAGAAAACACGTTTAAGAATTAATGACAAAAATGTAATTTGAGAATAAATATATTAACAGTTTTAATTGGTAATAAGTTCGTCGTAATTCCTTACTTTCAGCCGATCTTTTATTACAAGATTTTTAAATCTTAACTCACAAACAAGATATAGAAGCGAAATGATGTTTCCATAATACAGCCATGAGAACTCAGTCCCTTCGTAGGTTATGAATATAGAATGCTAAATGCACTCGAAAGTGAAATCTTATCACTGCATGTATATATAGGGTTCGAATATTTTGGAAAAGTTTCTTAAAAACTGAAATATTTTAAAATTAAATTATTAAAGATCCTAATAAAAAAACCTTTTCAGCTGTTCTAGAATGCTTTCGGGAAAAATCTGTTAGTAACTTCAGTTTATATTACAACAAAGATAATTATTTCAGGTATGAAGATAACTTACCACACTTTTATGTCCTTTGAGCTCAGCATATCTTTCGAAATTTAGATTGTAAACATGAATATCAGAACCGCTCGTAAGCACCATCATATGGCCTGCTTTAGATAAGCTAACCTGCAGTTTATAAAAGGTTATAAAAGAATTTGTTTTACTTATATTAATGAGTGCATACTACATAAATTACAAGGATTAAATTATCTCATTTGTAATTGCTATGTGTAAAGTAAGAGGAAAATAACATACCTGTGGATATGAATATTGGTCAAAATGCTTCACTTCAACCAACTTGTTGAGCAGTATATTGTAAAACTTTACGCCCTTGTCGTATCCTATCAAAAGGTTAAGTCCTAGCGGATGAATGGCTATACTGCAGATTTTATTTTCCATTTTCTCCCAGAACAGCACAGATCTTGAGGATTTAAAATATTTTTTGTGACAGGCATTTAAATAGGAAATTGTCCAAATGAAAGACAATGCAATTTAATCACAGATTTTTAGTTCCTCACAGAACAAAAGTACAACACATACATTAAATGGCACTCGTGGGCAAAATTAAAAGAATTTGCATGTTATGTAAACTTTGGGAAAACCTAATGGAAAACTTTTAACGAAATTTAGTATGAATATACATTTATAACCGAGAAAGAGATGTACCATTCAAAAGTCATTTTATGTCGGCATGATTATCAGTGAAGCTCATAGTGCAGGGATGCCCAAAATCCACTGTGTGATATCGAACTGGAAATGACTCTAATTTTGGGTATGGTCCCCTCTTACAGCCAGACACGTCGCGCAGCGTGACGGCGTACTGAACAAGACTCAGCTGAGGAGTCCCTGTGGCAGTTGATCCAACTCCTCCTGCAAGGGAGTTTCCAGCTCAGGGATGGTTGTCGGAAGGATATAGCGAGATGACTTTGTCCTCCCAAAAGCGCCCAAAGAGTGCTGTATAGGGTTAAGGTCAGAAGATCTGGCTAGCCAATCCCTGAAGTGAATAACCTCACTTTCCAGGTAATCATCGACCAGCTGAGCTGATGTAAACGAGGGTTGTCGCTCATTAACAGGAACCTAGGACCAACTTCGGTCCTGAAAAGTCAAAAATAGGACTCTAAGATCTCCTCTCTGTATCTCTTAGCAGTCAGGGAGACCTTTTTCAAACACATGCAGGACAAAGTCATCTGCTTTTGGGAGGACAAAGTCACCTCTCTATATCCTTCCGAGAACCATCCCTGAGATAGAAACTCCCTTGCAGGAGGAGTTAGATACTCTGCCACAGGGACTCCTCAGCTGAGTCTTCAGTACGGCGTCACGCTGCGCGACGTGTCCGGCCGTTCAACATAACACCTGCTCAACCGTTACACTTCCACTACCGCAATGATCCTTTTTCCTGACGAAGGAGGGATAGTATCATGTTCCAGGTTCTCTCCAGATACAGGTCCGCCGAGAATCAGTATCCATTGCTGAACCTCGACTCATATGTAAAAAGCACAGTGCTCCATTGCAGTCTAGTCCAACGTGGATGCGGTCTGCACCATTCCTAAACGCGCTCTCTTGAGTGCTGTAGTAAGCAGGACGCAAACAGCGGTTTTTCTGGCATACAGCCATATCTCATGCAGCCTTCGGGCAAATGTAGACCATGAAACTCAGTTCCAGTGGCAGCATACGGCTCACGTGAGAGCTGGGAAGCTGTAGCAGTCCTGGGTAGCCGCGCTGAATGTGCCTAATAGCGATCCTCATTCACCGCTGTGGATCTTACTTAACTTCGTCCAGGCCTTCTTGATATGAATGCAGTGCCTTGAAACTGTGTCTGTGAATCACAGACGACAATCAGCGTTACGCTTACGTTAACCAACTGTTGCGAGAAATACGGCGAATGTTACTAAGGAGTATGAACACACAAATCGCCGAAAACTCCTCTAGCTCATATGTTCCCTTCACAATCACAGCTCCGGAGAAACGCACATGTACGTTTACGTATTCGATTTGGGGCCCACCAGCGGCCGAGCGGTAAAGACGCTGAACACTGGTAGTTCGGTCTGAGGTTCGAATCCCGCAAACGGGCTGGCTGCATGGGGCGTTTTCGTGGTTTTCCCCATGTGTAACGTGTATACGAGCCAGTTTCCCTTAGAAAGTCCTCCACGAAAGGCATCCCTCCCTTTAGGCAGATAGCCCTCGTGTGCTTTGCCATAATTAAATACACCAACACACACACCGTATTCGATTTGGAATATTTGAATCATTTTTTGTTACAATTAGTACCGTTAATTCAATACATTTTTTAAAAATAGACGTAATTTGTAAATTCTCTTAATTTTGCATATGAATGTGATATGAAAATAAGTAAAACGAATATAAGAAAAAGACCAACAGAATTTACACAAAATTATAATAAATAGCCCTTTTTATTTAGTGTCAAATTCAAATGAAAAGCTGTTGTATACCTTTTAAACTTTAGTTACTAAATGCTTACATTTGAAATAAATTAAGCTCAGCAAAGTATGAAAGAGTTAAGTTTAAAAGGATTTATAGTTTACTTGTATTAATGGATGCATATCATTTAAATTAAAAGAACTTAATTATCCTTTTTAGAATTGCTATGTGTAATGTAATAGGAGAATAATTACCTGTGCAAAATGTTTAATTAATATGCTTTCTTGGTGGACATCCTAAAACACACAGATTCGTATGTACAGAAGAATCTTCTTTGTTCATATGAGCAATCAATTCAGAAGCAACAACCTTAAGCAATTATAAACAGTAAAAAGTAAAGGGGAATGGAATATTTAAAAGTTGTAATATTTTCTTTGTATTTTAATGCAAATTTGGTGTGAGGGAATTTAAATGGAGTTTGTGTATAAATACTTTAAACAAGCTTTTAGAATTACATGAAGTATAATGAAAATTTATTTTAATAATATTTTGTATAATGTATTTAATAATATTTTAATATTATATTATAATATTTTGTCAAATTATAATAAAAAATGGTACGCGGTATTAGCAATTATTTATTATTTATTTGTTTATAAAAGAATTTGAAATAAAAAATAATATCTATTTTTGAGCTATCATTTCAAAACATTATTTATTGGTAATAAAATTACTCGTGAACATTAATTGTAGGAAAGTGCGTAGGTTTCTTACAGTTTATAAGTCTGTATTTCTCGTTGTCTGTTTTTATGAATAATTTTGTATCATTTATACAAGATTTAATATAGCGAAAAGTGTTATAAATTTTTATGTACATACTGTTTGAGAAAATCTCTAAGAATAACAACTTCAGATGAGCACGTTGCTTGGATGGATCTACAAATCGCCGAATCCGTGCATTTCACTACACTTGTGTGCTGCCGGCCCAGAATAACGTGAAAATAAGCTTCATAACCTAAATCCTATTAAGAAATAATATGCTTATGAGCAAGTTTAGGTAAAAGTACGTACCCTTTTTTTCCCCCTAATTGCACAAGTATCAGTTTTATAAGCAGAGAATTAATTTTTTTGAATTCTTCAATGAGATATTAGTAATTGCTGATTAAGCGCTACCTATAATCCAAATTCAGTGAACCTGAAATACATATTTGTCTCAAATTATCATTATGTAATCTTAAATCTTGTAGAATTCCTCACTTGTAGAGTTCCTCATCTTAATCTTGTAGAGTTCCTCATCTTAATCTTGTGGAGTTCCTCACTTTGTTTGTATTAAAATGAACGTTGAGAAACCTAGTGAACCTTTTAGCCACTGATCGCTGAGTTCAAACAACTAAAGACGTAGACTCCAGAAGGGTTAACTATCCTTTCTTTCACTCAAAATAAGATGAACAGTTAGCCCTTTTCTCGGTCTTTTAACAAAGCCTCCACTCGGGCTTGAACTCAAAATAAGAACTAAATTAGAACTAACTAAGTGACTTAGCCGAAGCTAACGCAATTAACATAGTTTCTCCTGAATTTAAACTAGCCAGCGTATATCAAAAGGCACTTAATATAAGACCGAGCGTAACAGCTGCAGAAGGGAATGCAAACACGCTGTACACAGGATTCCTTGCTCTCTCTCTCGCAGTAAGTTGAACCTACCATAAGTACTACTTCTAACTCATTTGCATTCATAGTGGTTCTAAAAACTCATTCTGGTAGGGAGTTGTAAGTAGAAATAAGAACTGATAGGAAAGCACTTTAAAATTAAAATAACTGTTATAAAATTAAAATATACCTTATAAGTGATTGGAAAATAATGTGGATTAATCATACGAAATTGTTGAATAACTTAAAAAGATTTTCGGCTTTTGACTTAAAAATCTCATATCAGAAAATACTTAGTAATGGTAGGTTATAATTTTTCCAGAAGATTATAATTTTCCCTTGCGGATGAAGGATACTTTGTTAAAAAATTCCTAAATAAGCGCACATTCGGATTTATAACAAATGTTATATTAAGTTACCCCTAATAAATCAGACATGACAAAGGAATGCGTAAGAATCTGCCCAACATCAGTACTTGCTGCAACAAGATCTTCGTTCTGGTTTTGTGTCAGTTGAACAATTCGAAATTTGTGACGTTCATGTGCTCTGGAAATCTGTAATAAAAGGGAAATTTTGAAAATATTTTGAATTTTCTAACAAAACTCAAAACTAATCGTATTCTATGAAATTTACAACGAATCTGAAAGTTTTCAAGTGTAGATGTGTTTCTAAATTTTATCCTAACTAACCCTTTTTTTATGATTCGGATCTGTACTATAACTACTCTTTTTCTTTAGCGATCGCTAAGATACAAATGAATTGTAACTATTTAATACAATAATTTTGAAAGTTTTAGAGAGATTAATTTCGTTTTCTGACATGCCTTAAAGTTTTTAGGCTAGTAGGTTTATCTCGCTACATTTTTACCCTTACCTCAGTTTTCCCATTGGGAAACTTATATGCAGATATACTGGTGTGAAGTGCTCCTGTGACATTATATAATGAGCTGAACACGCCGCGGTATCCTCGATATTCGGGGCAATATCTGAATAGATAGAAAGTGTTACGAAATTGTCAAGGCGCGGAAAGATAGCTTCCTCGCAAAGCAAGTTTTAGGATTGCCATAAAATGGCAAGGGAAGGCAGGATTGCCACATTTGGCGAGAAATCGCCCATTTGGCGAAAAAATTGGCGCTATGCCATGGACGGCTGGAGAAACTTCTGGAACGAATTCTTACCGGTTTAACACAGGATGTTCTCGAACACAAGTCGTAAGCTATATAAACCCTGCTGGTACGCGGAGAGTTAGTGCGAGATAGTGTGTGCCTTGTCTAGCGGGCTGATAGTCAGTCATTGAGCGAGTATCTCGAAGTCTAGCGCCGAGTTGGTCGTCAAGTGCATCGAAGAGTCTCTTAGTGTATCACGGTTAATGCATCGTCGAGAGAGTGTGTTAAGCTCCGGGAACGACTGAACCGAAGATTTGGGAGCTGTGATCTGTGTGTAGTCGAGTGCATCGCGAGTCGTAGCATGGAGAGGCTCGAGAGTACGTGGAGTTCCGAGAACGATTGAGCAGAGTCGGGAGCTGTACTCTGGTGCTTTGCAGTAAAGCTGCCTCCACCGTTAATGCCTGACAGTGTGAAGGCTGTGTCGCTGATTGTTCCAGCGTATTTATTTTAGTTCTTCGCCGACTGTGACGTGATTTTCGAGCTGTCTTGATTAGAACTGGCTAAATAAAAGTGTGTTTCGATATTTCACTAAGTGCTGTTGTCGTTATTCACACCAAATCCACATGAACCCCGTACGAACGTGAAGGAAGAAAATAACGTGATAACTGGTGTCAGAAGAAAAATGCAACAATAGCTTTAGGGAGACAGTTTTTGGCAACGACGCTCGCAGTTATTCTATAGTTATACTTTCTTTCGCTCAGCTCTGCCAATTAATATTCCGGCAGTATCTATTTTGCTAGTCGAAGTTAAATCCCGCAATCAAAAGTTTTGAGTCAAGATTAGTCAGGTTAAAGTGTGTAGTTTGAGGCTACAAATGTTGTTTAGATTTGTAAATTCAATTTTCTGTCATTTAATAGCCCCAAGTGGCAAAGTTTGATTGTACGCACAAGTTGTGCCTTTGTTAAGTTTAAGCTTTAATAAAAAAAAGTTTATTTTAAACCTTCATAGGATTTTTGTCGTGCATTTTACAATTGGAGCTATAACTCGCTTGGTAATCTAATAGAGTCTGAAGAACTTTTACGTTAGAATTACACAAGTTAGGGCAATATTATGGAAGAGCCATTTTCATCATTTAACCGACTGGATATACAGTTACAGTAAAAACGCAGTGTGGAGAGAATATAAAAAAAATGATAAATATACTTTTAGTAAACCTTGTGTGAATCTCGACAACTGAAATTGGGCTTTTAATTTCCCTGAATTTCTATGATTAATTAGAACAATTTTCTTGGCCAAGCATGAACTAATTATCCAATAATAATATTTTTTTTCGAATGCTGCAAAACGAAATGAAATAAATAAAAATAGTACTATAGTATTACTTGAGTACATATTTGTAATGAATTGAATGCATATAGAACTGATGATAGGTTGATGAAATTTATTTTAAAAAAAAAGAAAGAAAAATTTTACGTTTCTGGAAATTTTCACAAAAAAGTACTCGTACAGCCCTTCTCAGTATAACGGAGCACAATCATGAGTAGCGAAATATGCACTGTGATTTCTCGGAATTGGATGGCATACACAGTTACAGTTACATAAGGTCGGATATAGTTGCACAAGAACTGGATTAGGTATAGTTCAAAAGGTATGTCAGGACCAGGTAGGCCAAAAGTATCAAGAAGTATGAAAGAAATTCTTTTTTTTAACCCCGTTTGCATCAAAAGCATCTTGTAATCGATTTATACCCAAAGACGTGTAATTGGAATTTCATAATCAGTGGTCAACTACTGTTGACAAACGGTGTCAGAATGTACTGACATAAGCAGGTTCGGCAACAAATTACGAAAATTTAATTATATCTATGCTGTTGACAGGGCATGACAAACACCCCTAGCAGTGCCGTCTGATCTGTTAAAAAAGATCATCATGTGGTAGATGACATAAGCTTTTATTATTTCGGTACTTTTACAACACGACATACAAACATTGAATAAAATATTTAGCTACTGTTCTTAATATTAAGCACACACTGTCTATTTCGTTTATTTTCTGATAGATACAAAACTAAAAATTTAGGGACCGAAGGCTTAGAGAACTCTAGGCAAGCATGCCTACAACAGGAAATTAAAATTTCTCTCACTTCTGGAGCTCAATCTATTGAGGGAAAGGAATGCTTTAGCCGGATTCCTAAGAAATTTACTAGAAAGTGAAGATTTCTGGTTGTTGGTCGATACGAAATAAATTTTGCTATGACTGACCCTTTTTACTTTATTTCGGGACGAAAGGGATGCGAAGGAATTTTCATTTGGACCCTGTATATACAAGGCGTATTACGAATTTGGATTCTAAAAAAAATAATATAAAATATTTTAATTGGTGAATGGGGTATGCCTCGAAGCATTTCAAAGTTTATACGTATGAAACTTTAAAAAAATTACATTAACACTTTTATACAATTAAATGAAATGTATTTTTGGAATGCAGAGTAAAACATAGTCTTATGCTGAATTTCATTCAATGTTGTACACAATTAAACTGATATGATCATATACTGATATTAGATTTAATTTTAAAGTATGTTATTTACTATTTACTAATGAGCTTTAGAAATCTCTGTTTCTTACATGAATAGAGGTCGTGACCTTGAAATGTTTACCGTCCACAGTATTGTGCAAGCAGTAAATAGAATCACCGTCATAACTGCAGAGTAGTCCATATCTAGTTGTAAGCAAGCACGATACATTTTTGTCTGCGACACTCTTTTTATTGGCATATCTGAAATTATGAAACAAATTAATCAATATACTAAAAGCAAATTTTACGTAAATAGAATTTTGAATACACTAGAGATCAGGATTTCACAATGCATTTAACGTAACATTCAAAAATTTAATTAACAGAACCCAGCTTATTTGCGTAGTATGAAATTTATCTAAAGCAAATTTTTAGACTGATTTCCGGTGATCCCATATTACGTAAATTTTATTACATAATGGTGATTCATACGACATATGATTACAATGCATGCGATTACGAAATATTTCATATGGGTGATTTGTACGACAGGAAACAAAACGTTAAAAAATCATAAACGTTAATTAACTAACCTTAAAAGCATCAAACAGTATTCGGTTTTAAAAGCTTATTTTGCAGTTAATTAAACAGTTCTTGTTATTAAACTCAATATTACTGCTTACTGCATCAAGTGTAATTACCACATTTTGATGTTAATACAACGAGAAAATAATTGAGATTAACAAATTTATTTTCAAATCCGATACTTAATAATTTGAAAAATAAACTCGAATAATTAAATTGACCATTATTATTTTAACTAAACATTTTTGTTTATAAATTCAAATGACTTGAACATAGCTACGAGTAATACATCGTTTGTTGACAAATTATCAAGGCATACTATTTCGTTAGTAGGGATGGAGACGGTAAATTTTAAGAGAATAGCTCAAAACTTTATTATTTTAAACACTGATGACAAAGTCTACGACTACACATTAAGTAAGCTAAAATAAACTAGCTCAGAATATTTTATCAGTGAGTAATTTAAAACATCGGCTACAGCGTTGCTAACAAGAAGACGGTGCAGCCACAAGCTTTAATCTAACAATTTAGAACCCTCAGCTTAAATATACATTAAGTTAATTTGCATTCTGGTGAAGAATACAGAAAGGAGAAGTTTAAAGTAAAGACATTTTTTTCAATGGCCGGGCGCTTTATTTAATAGTATTAGCCTTGCGCCGCTACAAGGGCAAAAAGTCGTGGCCATTTCTTTACGGTAGCACCTAATAGGCGGCCACCGTTGCATTCTATGAAGGGACGAACAGTTATAACCTTGCTCTCTCCAGGATTCGAACTCCAACCCATCCCTACGGCAGTCAGGGACACTAACCACTGGAGTGCAAACTGTTAAGGACACGAAGTTATGATGTATCGAAGTGGACAACTAGTAATGAACTTAACAAAAGCATACTTCAAATTTACCAAAAGTTAACTTAAAATACAGTTTTATATGAACATAGAATAGCCTACACAATCTTGGGCTATGGAACTATCAACTGCCTGAACTGATGTGACTGGCCTACTCTGTGGGTAACTGCCACAATAATACGGTTACACATCATTAGGTGTGTAACTGATAAGAATACGAAGTTTTGACGTATTGAAGAAGACATAGGTTTAGAAACTGGTTAATATATAAGTTCCACTCTCCACAATATAAATTCTATCCATGACAATGTAATGATTAATTGATTGTATATTTATTTTTCATACGGATTATTATGTAACAATTATTGTATAGATGACATCGTCAATTTAGCATTGTAATATTACTGTCATTGATTCAATGAATGCCGCCGGCGGGGGATGGTAGATGCTGTTCCGTCGCATGGACATAACTCTGTAACCATTATACCGTCTGGGCGGCATAATGAAAAGACTTAAATCATAATAACTGATTAATTAAGATACCTTACAGACTGTTACAATCAAACAGTTTTGAATAATATTTATATACATATGTTATTCAACTTACAGAGAAGCGAATTACAAAGAAAAAGGTATATAGTTCAAATTCCCCCCCCCCCCAGATGACGGGGCTCAATCAAAAGTGTGTGCAAATTAGGAGAAACTCTGCATTTTTTAAAAACTGATACAGAAAAAATAAATCAAATTGATTTTTCATGCCTATAAACAAGCAAGACCATATCATTTTAATCGAAATCTTTCATCAGAATGGCAATAATTCTGCATTTGCTTTTAAAACATATCCTCGAATGAAAAGTTTAAGCAAAGATCTTAAGTCAGTAAATATGACGAAAACATCATTAAAAATATAAACAATTGATTATTTCAATGTGTCACAGGGCTTTTTCATGTATATGGAATATCAGTCCAGATTTTAGCCCATGGTACATCCGGCCGTGATATTACTAAAGATCGTATTTGTAAGAACCTGTACGTGTTGGAGTTGAAGGTTAATATAGTGTGGCACGTATTCCAGATTCCTTTTCAAATGCTATATGCAGTAGTTGATAACGCCTCCTGCAATTTACGAGTAATAAGTGATGTGATAAGCAATGAAGAATCTTCCAAAGAGCAATTAAAATGTTGTTCACCTGTCTTGTAATTATTATTCTTTATAACTTCTCACTACTCTCGGGCAAAGCTTTAATATCTGCTTCCACCTATCTAAATTTCTTTCTTGTGTTCTGTAAAGGATACGTACTAAATTTCATTAGTATAGTCTTCACACACACCTGCTTATCTTCGCTATAATTATAACTACTCTGTATAGACTAATCTCAATCTAAGATTGAACTTTACATAATGCTAACCTCCCAAAATAGTTACCATAAAAAAGAAGACACTCATAATGATTTTAATGAATGCGGTTCGCACAGTTTCGTTTGGTTAAGTTAATATACTTCCAAAGAATATTTGGTGAATTTAAATAATGAATCAGCAGTATTGCTTTGTTATTATACCAATTTAATAGTCGTTCCATTCCAACGATTCTAGACTTCAAATGCAATAGAAATTACACTGCTCGACACTGAAAATGCAACACCAATAAGGAGTGGTCAGGAAGTGATGAAATTTGGAAAAAAGACAGAGACAGCAAGCAGCATTAAGTGATCTTTATTTCAAAATGATAGTCAGAATACAGAGCGAGAACGGCGTCGGCTCAGTAGGATGTAGCACCACCGCGGACAGCGATGCACGAAGAAACACGTCTAGGCATAGAGTTAATAAGAGTGCGGATGGTGTCCTGAGGGATGGCTCTCCATTCCCTTTCAACCATTTGCCAGTTCGTCTTCTGAACGAGGCATGGGCAGAGTCTGCAAACGGCGTCCAATCATATCCCACACATGTTCGGTTGGTGACAGGTCAGGAGAGTACGGTGACCAGGGAAGCATCTGTATACCTTGCAGAGCATGTTGGCAGATGCGAGCACTGTGTGGTCATTATCCTGCTGAAAAATTACATTAGGCAGCTCCTGAAGGTAGGGGATTACCACCGGCCGCAGTACATTATCCAAGTATCGTTGGGCCGTCATAGTGCCCTGAATACGAACTAGAGGTGACCTGGAATCGTACGCAATAGCGTCTCAAACCAATTTGCCACGTTGTCACGCGGTGAGACGTTCCACAGTTATTGCTGGATTAGATCTGTCTCCATGTCGGCGCCACACACGTATTCGGCGACTGTCGCTGGATAAACAGAAGCGTGACTCATCTGAGAACACAACGTTTCGCCATTCTGTCATCCACATCGCTTCAGTCCGGCACCATTCTAAACGTTGGTGTCTATGCTGTGGTGTCTATGGCAGTCTTCTTAACAGACGCCGTGAGTGCAGGCCACGTTCAACCAATCGACGGGAAATGGTTCTGGTCGACACGGGAACATTCAGGGTATCTTGCACATGCTGCAGAATCGCTGTGCAAGTGACTTGCCGGGACCGCCACAGCTTGTCGGCGGATGCATCGATCCTGACTTCACTCTGGCTGCACCTGCTTCCCCTCTCCTTCTTTTCACATTTCCTTCATGTTCCAACCATGTTTGCCATAGCCGATGCACCGTGCTCACATCCATGTGGGTGTCAGCTGCGATTTGACGTAAGGACCAACCCGGCCTTCTCAAGCCGCAGGAGTTGTTGCGTCTGGATAGGGGAGGGCGTGAGACATATGCCTGTTTACCTCTGTTAGACACCAGGCGTCCCCGTCCTCCGTCACCTGTCACCATATCCCTCTTAAAATCGTCTTTCTGCTGGAAGTGCCTTCGTCGACAGCGGCCGGGCATTCTCTCCTATTACACGTATCTTCTGGGACAAAAACCAACTTTCTTCGATAGTTCGTCTGGCAAAAATAACCACACGAATAGTGCCCATTCTGCACGTTCCTTCCCTTATATCTTACTTCACGTGCGTCGGAGAGCTGGGCATTTTTCATCATCGCATAACTCAGTGACGTGCGTCTACTCTAAAATTTGCATAAATTTCTGACCACTCCTTCTTGGTGTTACATTTTCAATGACGAGCAGTGTATATCATGAGGTTTAATGTCTGCTGCGATTCATTGTACAATTTCTCTGATGAGACAATTACTTTTAATTATGCTTCTAAATGGCATTGAATGAAGGAAAGTATTTTAAAGCATTTTATTTATTACACAAAAGCATCTTCTTGTCTAACAATTGAATATGGAATATGGATCAGCTTATTTCTTTCTTCAGACCTTCTCAAATAAAGTTATATTATTTTTGGTATCTATTCTGTTTTCCGGTGTATATATTGGCAGTACTAGTATTAGCTCAAATTTCATTTTAGGCTGCTTTTGTTTTTATTGAAGAATTTGATGGAATGACGGTCTTTCAACAGCAGTTATCATGTATATTATTTCTATTGCAAAACTTCTTCTTTTTCCTCATACATCGTATCCTGGGGAACCTTAAAATACCATGAAAAAATTACAAAAATAGCTTAAAACTATACTTTGTGGAATGGATAGAATAAACATGATGAATATTGAAGAATTTCCATACGAATTACTAGTACGAGTACAACTACGTATAAAAATAGAATCTAAAGTCTTCATATTACAATAAAAAACTTCAAGAAAGGAATTTTCTTTGCAAAAAAGCGTAAAAAGTTATAAATAAATGCATGTTTATATACGAAGGTAAATCCAAAAAAGATTCCATTTGAAAAGGAATTATTGTCGAGGGAATACTTTATTCCAGAGTGTTAGCGGATGGGA